TTCGCTATTCTAATAGATGAAATGAAAATCTTTCTTTTATGGAGTAGAAGACTACAAGGTCTTCTTCTAGAAGACTCAAAGAAATCCACTTTTTCTAAAAGACCAGTAGAGAAAACACTAGGGTCTTATTATAGATTCCAGAAGTCGTATATGCCCCCTTACAAAAGATAAAAAACGACTTTATATCGATGACCAGCAGATGTTCTTATAGAAGACCAAACAGGCTTAATCTCAAGGAAAACCAGAAGACCTTCTTCGCTTTATAGAAGACCATAAAGAAGATCTTCTTCTTCTTGTAGAAGACCAGAATTTATTCTTATAGAAGAGGAGAAGGGATTCGTCTTATAGAAGTCCGGGAGATCTTCATACTTCGTAGTTGAGATAAGTAGGTTCTCTTATAGAAGGTCATAAAGTCATTTTATAGTGGTCAGGCAGATTTTTATAGAATATCAGAACCAAGGATGCCTTCTTATAAAAGACCAGAATATTTTTTCTTTTTATAGAAATCCTTCTGTCATAGAAAACCAGATAGTATTTTTACAGAAAACCAGAAGGTCTTCTTCTTAATGATTGCCAGAATGTCTTCTTTTTTAAAGACCACATTTTATTGAAGACCGGTAAATCTTTTGTTTGTAGAAGATCAGAACAATTTCAATTCCTTTTAGACACCCATAAATTTTGCTACTCCTAGAATATTTCACAAACGTTCTCATCACAAGAGAACGGAAGGTCTCTTTACAGAAGACCAGAAGATATTCTTGTGGAAGACTAAAAAATCACCTTACGGAAGACAGATAGTATTCTTATCGTACAACATATTGGTTTCTTTTAGAGGACCAGAAGGTCAGAAAACCCCAGTTATTGAAAAATCTTCTTTTAGAAGACAATAAGTTTTTTTTATGGATGACCTTTATATAGAAAATCATCTCATAGAAAACAATTTTTTAAAGATCAAGGAGTATTCATACAGAAAAATCGATATATTCTTCATAAAATAGATACGACCTTTATAGGCGATCTGAAATTCTTCTTCTTGCTAATAAGTTTTACTCATAAAAGATCTGAAAGACGTCTTCTTCTTCATAGAAAATTTGAAGGTTTTCTTCCTCATAGAAAATCTGAAGGTATCCATCTTCACAGAAGATCTCAAGGTATTTTTCTTCACAGAAGAGCTGAAGATCTTATTTTTCCTCCCGGAAGAGCTGAAAATATTCTTCTTCCTCATAGAAGAGCTGAAGGTCTTGTTTTCAAAGTAGAATTGAAGCACTTCTTATTCATGAAGGTCTTCTTCACAGCGGAGTAACATGTAAGAGCTAAAGGCCTTCTTCATAGAGATGAAGGTATTATTCTTCATAAGAGAGCTGGAGGTATTTTTCTTCTTCATAGAAAAGCTGAAAGTTTTTTTCTTCATCATGGAAGAGCTGAAGGTTTTCGCTTTCTTCACAAAAGATCTGAAGATGTTCTTCTTCCTCATAGAAGAGCTGATGGTCTTCTTCTTTCCCATAGATACGCTGACGTTATTCTTATTTATCATAGAAGAGCTGAAGGTCTTCTTTTCTTCATGGAATTGTTGAAAGTCTTCTTCTTCCAGAAAGAAGTGCTGAAGGTCTCCTTCTTCCTCAAAAATGAGCTGAAGGTCTTCTTCTTTTTCATAGAAGAGCTGGAGGCATTCTTCTTCACAGAAGAACTGAAAATCTTCTTCTTCACAGAAGAAGCTGAAGGCTTCTGAAGCTTCTGAGTCTGAAGGTATTCTTCTTCCTCATAGAAGAGCTGAAGGCCTTCTTCCTCATTAAAATATTGAAGTTCTTTTTCTTCATGGAAGAGCTGAAGGTCTTTTTTCATAGAAGAATTGAAGCTCTTCTTCATAGAGATGAAGGTCTCTTCTTCTAATTTTTCGTAGAAAACGATGAGGTAAAATTTTTATTCCCAGAAGAAGAAAAGGGTAGAAGTAGAAAAGGCAGATCTTTGACATATAAGGTATTAATGCCATATTTTTGAAAGTCTACAAAGTCTGGAAACACGTCTTATAAAATACGAAAGTCTACTTTTGGAGAACCAAAATTTCGTCTTTAAAAGAGAAGGGATAGCGAGAGTAGGACCAGAAGTTCATAATATGGAAGACAAGGCCGAAGTCCTTCGTACGGAGTCTGCAAAAGTAGGTTTGAATAATCCTTATATAGACTAACTAAATGGGCTTCCTCCATACGGTTTTCAGGGTGTTTGAAGGTATTACTATATAAAAGAAGAGTTATCCTATTTATTTTATGAAACAGCTGACAGATATTTTCATAGAAGAAAGGACTTCATGATCTTCTAAACTTCTAGAAGGTAACACATTTTTGTTGACTTCAAATTGCCAAATTAAATTAATTTCAATTACAATCAAATAAATCCAAATTATGGCGCGTGTCACCGTAATGACCACCACCTTAACCCTTTTCTTAAGACTGACCATTAAGAAACCCCAAGTAATGTGGAAACTGGTTTTGTATTTCCATAACCCTATCGGAGATTTTTTAAATGTGCTCGCGTGCCGAACTTGTTAAATATTTATTAAATGGCCATTGACCAGCTTCAGTCAGTTTACCTCCGTTTTTTTAATCCTCTTTGTCGTTCCTTTAGGATTTTTAAGATGGTCAAGTCATTCATAAATCAATTGGTGTAGAGTGGTGACAATTAAGAAAATATTTAATGGTCACTTCATCATCCCTCTCCGTATTTGCATATCCTCATTTTCAAGGTATCATCTTAAAGGACAAAGAGAATGATGTTTACACATTCGTAATCTTATTAATGTGCATATTAATATGCTAATATTGTGATAATTGGGAATGTTTAAATTTGGAAATTCAAATTTATTTTACAGAAATATATTTCAAATTAGCTATTATTTACAATCAAAATTTAAAATTAATTAATAAATCATTCATATACAAATTAAAAAAAACCTTTTTAATAATCAAATAAAATTATACCTAATTAATTAAAATAAAACTTAAAATTCATTTTATTCCATTCAAATAAATTTCTAATTATTTAAAGTCTATATTTTCAGTAAAACACTTTCATTTTTATTTTTCCACTTTAATTCCGAATCATAAAATTCCATTATATAACCCAAAATTCTTATTACTGACCTTTGTTTTCAATATTCTCAACACTGACCTTCACCTACACAAAACACACAAATAAACTCCCTCAAAAATCCTATTTCAATTTCTACTAAAAAATTCCTCAAGTTTGAAAAAAATACCCCAAAAATTCTCTCCATTTATTTCCTTACTCACACAAAAAATAACTTCACTCTCATTCCCAAAAAAAAACAGAGTACATAACCCGCTGCTATATACTCATACCCCGCAAATCCTGCATTCTCATTGGTAAAAACCCAACATGTTTTTAGCAAAAAAATGTATTTTTATACAAAAAATTAGCATTTTTCCTCACCATCATTGGCTGAGGGCTAAGAGAGAAGAGTCCCAAACGGGAATCAACAAAAACAAAAAATCCCAAAAAAAAAATCGAAACATAACCTAAATATAAAACCGACAAAAATAGGGGATGAAATGGAACATAAATCCTCTATACAAAGAACAACAACAAAATTGTACATTAAAAACATTTTGATACGAATGACATCAAGAACAACAACAATACATAAGGAAAGGACACTGTGAGGGCGATATACCCATAACAACCCTCTATTATTTTCTGCGGGAAAGAGTATGAAATTTATGATAACCTTTAGTTATTGCAAAATGTTAGCAAAGAGAAAAGTGGAATTTTTTAGGAGAATTTTTAATTATGAAAAAAAGAGTATTTAATTTTAAGAGAGAACATTTAGCAGAAAAGATCATAAAAAAGGGAGAGGATTTTGTGATCGGGAAAGAAAATAATAATAAATCTTTTAATAAAAGAGATATAAGCCTTCTAAAAGAGAACGAAAAAGTCTTCCAATAGAAGACGAGGAAATCTTTTAATAGAAGACCTGAAAATTTTTCTAATTGAAGATGAAAAAGTCCTCTAATATAAAACGAGAAAATCTTCTAATTCTGAAAGCCTTCTAAAAGAAGACGAGGAAATCTACTAATTTAAGACGAAAATATCTTCTAATAGAAAAGGAAAACGTCTTCTAATATTATACGAGAAATTATTCTATTATAAGACCTAAAAGTCTTGTACAAGATGACGATGAAAAGTCTTCTACTAGGTTATGAGAATGTAGTTAAATAGAAGACGACACGTCTTATAATCTATGAGGAAAAAGTCTTCTACTAAGAGAATACATAGCAAAAAGAAGAAGAAGCATTTAACTGTTTGTGTCTTTGATAACCGTCAGCATATACCAAACCCATTGGTACGCATTTTAATACGGTTGCACTCATTGGTGTTCTCCTATACACTAGTACACACGTCTCCAATCATTGAACAGCGACATTGAACTAAATTGTTCAGAAACACCGTTAACCAATATTTATCAATTTTTTGTTTGAACAAGAGAGGAGTGAGAATATAAACAAATATACACATGGATAACACTCAGTTATAATAAAAGAAAATATTGCAACAACTTGCCACACAGAAGAGAGTTGTCATTCTCGCAATATGAGAGACAATTATCACTAGCTCATGCAATCCCATATAGTGAATAGATGCATTCAAACACTTTGTTCAATAAACTCCATTGGTAGGAGATGACATTTTTCCAAGTATAATTCAATATCGAATATTTTTTTGGAAAATAAAAAGAGAAAAAATCCTTACAGTATTGCTATTTGGCTGAATATCAATGAAAAAAGGACAGACAAAAACAACTACAATGCTGATTGATATAAGATCAGCTGACTGATCACTAATTCCCCTATATTCCAGTCAGTGAATAATGTAATTGAACTAATTTATATAGAAATAAAAACATTACAAATTTTATCCAAATTCGACATTAAATTCAATGAAAACCTTAAAGTTTAAATAATTTAAATTAGAACACAAAAAAAGTTATGTTAATACAACACAGTCTCTATTTGGTGAGAAATTTGACAAAGCGGCAATTAATTGGCATCGAAGTTGTTAGGCGGCACATGTCCGCAGCAGCCGCAGTTTCACAAGGCAAGTCAGCAGCAGCAACAGCTAAACAATTCAAGTTGAAGATTCAGGGAGTACCAGAAAAAATGCGTGAAAATCCAATTGTCAAAAAAATAGATACTCCAGAATTTCGAAGTATATTCACCGAAGAATTGAAGACCCTCGTGGAGTTGTTCAAAAAACATAATTATGAATTGCGGATAGCTGGCGGTGCGGTTCGTGATATTCTGATGAATATTCAACCGAAAGATATTGACTTTGCCACAACAGCAACTCCCGATCAAATGAAGCAAATGTTCACGGAGGAAAATGTCCGAATGATAAATCCTAAGGGCGAGAAACATGGTACCATAACACCGCGTATTGCCGATAAGGAGAATTTCGAGGTGACTACTTTGAGAATAGATGTGCGTACGGACGGCCGCCACGCTGAAGTGCAATTTACCACCGATTGGCAATTGGATGCCAATCGCAGAGATTTGACAATAAATTCCATGTTTTTGGATTTTGATGGCACAATTTATGATTATTTCTATGGCTATGAGGATTTACAAAAGAGACGTGTGGTATTTGTTGGTGATCCGGCCGTTCGCATACAAGAGGATTATTTACGGATTTTAAGATATTTCCGTTTCTATGGACGCATAGCACGAGAGGCGAATTGTCACGATGAAGCCACACTGGAGGCAATACGACAAAATGTCGAAGGTTTGGCACATGTCAGTGGCGAACGTATTTGGTCAGAGTTACAGAAAATTGTTGTGGGTAATTTTGCCGAAGAGTTGGTATTGGAAATAATAAAATGTGGTTTGGCTCCATATTGTGGTTTGCCCAATGAACCAAATATCGAAGAGTTTAAGCGGTTATGTTCCGCTCTAAAAGACTTTGAAAAACCTCATTATCCCATACTGATAATGATATCATTGCTAAACTCTGTTGAAGATGTCATGAAAATGCATGAACGTTTACGATTGTCGGCTTTTGAAAGGGATATGGCTTTGTTTATTACCCAGAATCGAGATAAGGTAAGAATGTTGATTTTTGTTATTAAGATAAATTTAAATCGCTTGCTTTTTTTCTCTTACAGGTGGATGAGGAATACAAAGAATTAACAGATTACTATAAATTGTGCATGCAACCATATATCATAAAGGATTATGTTGAACAACTTTTGAAATATAAAAACCAAAAGGAATTTTACACCAGCCTAAAATCCTGCGTATTTCCAAAATTCCCCATTAATGGTCATATATTAAACGAACGCGGCTGTCCCAAGTCCAAGAAAATGGCAACAATTTTGGCACAACTTAAAACCATATGGGCTGGAAGTAATTTTACCATAAGTGCAGAACAGCTACTGGAAGAACATTTACCTAAGATTTTGGAAAGTCTGAATTCTCCCACATCATCTCCAAATAAGAAAATGAAAACCACAAATAATTAAAAACCAACGAAGATAAGTTGTAATTCATTTTGTTTATTATTTTTATTTCATCGATTCGATTCTATGGTTTATAGAATATTTGTATGGGTCTTTTGAACCCCTTTTTACAATGATCAGGTACACCCATTAACTGGACTTTTGTAAAACCAACTTCAGAAGACAACAAATACTCTTCAAAATTGTTGGGAAAAAATTTCATATTTTTGTAATTTGTAAATATTTGTTCCTGTATGTGAGAAGAAGAAAAAGAAAAACGATTAAAATATGATGACATTTAGATATGCTTAAAAATCTTGTGTACTTACAGTCATTTTCTTGCGTCTGGCATAATTATCAAATGGTTGAGCTTCCAGTATGAAAATACCCTTTGGCCTTAACTGCAAAAACATTCTTCGAAATGCCAATTTCAAACCATCATCCCCAAAATTTAAATGTATCCATTTTGTTATGGATAAACATAGGATGACATCAAACTGAGGCCTTTCGATTTCCAGTAGGACAGCATCTTTTAGTACATAATTACCATGTACAAATGTAACATTAAAGGGGAATTTATGTTCTCTACGCAATTCATTATTTAGGGGTAAAGATTTCTTGTGGCGTGTCAATTGTTTTATGGCTTGATTAATTAAATGTTTATCAATATCCAAACCGGTAATGGATTTAACTTGGAATCTCTTGGCAACTTCCATTGTTATAAAGCCACTATTACAGCCAATATCAAGTATCTGTTTATTTTCAAACAGTTCTTTGTGTTTTTCAAAAACATCCAATCGTATATCGTGAAAATCTTTATCCTTATTACGATAACCATAATATTGGGAGTAATTACCATATATGAATTTTTCTTTCTTTTTTGTAGTGGAGGTATCATTTAGTTTCCCCTGGAAATCTAAACGTTTCTTGGGACTTTGTGGTATAAATGTGTTGGTTGGCTTTTTGGTTTTATTCGGACTTTTTGTAGTAGTTTCAGCTGGGATATTTTCCAAATGTTTACTGGCTTTTTTATCTACACCTTCAGAATTTGTACTCATGTCCTCTTCCTTTTCAGCACATGCTTTCTTAACTATCGGGTTTGATCCGTTACCAGACTTCTGAGGATTTGTTGATACTCTCTTTAAATTTGTATTTATGATTTCCTCTTTCAAATCAGTTGTTCCCTCGATAGATAATACATTCTCCACATCACCTTCCAATTCATTATTATTCTTCACATTGTCCTCGAGGCTTGTTCCACTAACACTTCTTATTTCACTACTTGCTGTTTTATTTTTTAAAAATTCGTTTCCATTTGTCTGTAATAATCCTTCCAAATTTGAAAATTTCTTTACATCCTTTTCGATTGCGGCCACGCTCTCTTCTTCGTGAAGAGCCTTTTTACACGGCGTTTCTTCCTGCAATTCATCTTGACTATGTTTTCTTTTAATATTTACACATTCTTTATATTGATTTTCTTCGTTATTAGGCACTTCTTCGGCTTTTAAATTCATATTTTTTTGATTTATTTATTATTTAAAAATAATCTTAAAAACAATCACATGTTTGGGTTTGCAATAGAGAGGTAAACGTTTTGATTGGTTTTGCATGGTTTTGTTTACAAACACAACAACTGCTGGCGGTGCAGAGTTGCCAATGTAAAGTGACAGACATATAATATGATTACGTGGGGTTCACACCACGCGAAACACAACATACAGTATTAAATACATGCAGATAACATAAATTAAAACATAATATTTTGAAAAGTACATAAAAATCCATCTGATCAGGATAAAATAGAACCAACCGATTAAATAATTAATAGTCTATTCAATATCTCCAAGTCCAAGATATCGAACGCATTGTGGTAGCGTATTTGGTGAGCATACTGTGACGTGTGAACACCACTATTTCTGATTAGAGTTTTTGTTATTGCAATTAAACAGCTGTTTTCTAACATAGCAACGGCACACAGGTACACACAAACACATAAAAATAACTCAAATATCTCCAGCCAGTAAATAGCCGATATGATATCGTCGTTTCATTTCGCAAGGCATTTGAAAGGCTTGCAGGTTACTAAGCTAGGCAAACAGCTGCTGGAACAACGAGTTTTATGTGCAAAAAACAACATTCCAAAATTTAATAAATTTTATTCGAATATGAATTTGAAGAATCAAAAAACTGTATATGTAACCCGTCCTGATGTGGCCGGCGTGGGTTTAGATATTCTCAGGAAGGAGTAAGTTTTCACAGAAAGTATTATAGCACATATTTAAATTGTATATACTATGTACTCCACAGATGTAATGTGACGACATGGTCTGAATGCAGACCGGTGCCACGCGAAGAATTACTCAAACAAATTGAGGGCAAGGACGCTCTGTTTTGTGCCTTAACGGATAAAATCGATGCAGAGGTCATTGAAAAGGCAGGTCCTCAATTGAAATGCATCGCAACAATATCAGTGGGCTATGAACACATTGACCTTAAGGAGTGTAAAAAGCGTGGCATAAGAGTTGGCTATACACCGGATGTGTTGACAGATGCCACAGCCGAATTGACATTGGCCTTGCTGTTGGCCACCAATCGCCGCCTACTGGAGGCCAATAAAGAAGTATATAATGGTGGTTGGAAATCATGGGCACCCAGTTGGATGTGTGGCCAGGGTCTGAAAGGCTCGCGGGTGGGTCTCTTTGGTTTTGGTCGTATTGGTCAGGAAATTGCCAGCCGTCTTGTACCATTTAAACCGTCGTTGATAACCTACACCACCCGTACCCAACGCCCCGAAGAAGCAAAGAAAGTTGGTGCCGTCTACGTTTCATTCGAAAAAATGCTAAGTGAATCAGATTTCATAATCGTTTGCTGTGCCCTTACCCCTGAAACTAAGGAAATTTTCAATAGTTCAGCATTTGATAAAATGAAAAGTAATTGTATTTTTATAAATATATCACGTGGAGCTGTGGTCGATCAATCTGCCTTATATAGTGCCTTAAAAGAGAAACGTATCTTGGCTGCTGGTTTAGATGTAACCACGCCGGAACCATTGCCATTGGATGATGCCCTCTTGAAATTGGATAATATTGTTATACTGCCGCATATTGGTAGTGCTGAAACGCATACCCGAACCGAAATGTCACGTATAACAGCAATGAATATATTGGCTGGTTTGAATGGCGGTGAAATGATATCGGAAGTAAAAGTTTAAAAAGGAAGAAGAGACGGGGAAAAATGGATGAAATGCTTCAAAGGCTTAATATGGTTGTTAATTTAGCTTTTTTCGAATGAAGAACAATAACACAAAAATGCTTGAACGTATTCCTGCCCAATTATAGAACAACAATAATATAAATTTTTAATTAATTGAAAATAAAAATTAAAGTGAAATTTCCAAATTGGAAGGCTTTTGCAAGGATATTGTTTTTTATGGAATTGTTGGAATTTGTTTTTTTTTAATTATCATTTTTGGAATTGAATTGAATTGGGTAAGATGAACTATTTGAGGATTTCTATAATGAAATAATTGTGGTTAAATCACTTGTTCGAGAGATATTTGACATCTTGAAAAACTGTTTATGAGTCCTTCACAGTATTTTCAACAATTAAAAATCTTGAGATGGCTTCTATATAACATTAAAACGTGGACTTTTTAAACAATAATTTTTTAAAGTAACATCAAATCGTGAATTTTTAAAATAAAATATTTTCCAAGTATCTAGTCAAGCGTTGATTAGAAAATTTAAAATTCGTTTTATAAAGAATATTTTTTAAGAACCAAAATTAGTGTGGATTTTTTAAAGAATATTTTTTTGAAAGAATATTTTTTTGAAAGAATATTTTTAGGGACCAGAAGATGTGTAGATTTTTTAGTTTTTAGGGACCAACATAACCTTGGAATTTGGATTTTGTAAAGAAACTTTTTTCAAGGGTCAAAACAATTGTGAATTTTTTAAAGAATATTTGTTCAATTCTTACTTTAATTTGGATTTCTTAAAAAATTCTGTTTTTTTAAGCGTGGATTTTTTTTTTTGAATATTTTTCGAAGGACGAAATCATGGATTTTAAAAATAAAATTAAATATATTTTTAAAAACGTGGATTTTTTTTTAATTTTTCAAAGTCTGGATTTTGAAAAAATATTTTTTTAAAGTCAATTTTTTTGTAAATATTTACTCAAAATGCAGATTTTTGAAAATGTATTTTTTTCAAAAATTGAATTTTTGAAAAAGTAGTTCTTCAAAACTTGAATTTTTGAACAAAATAACCATTTTTAGAAGAGAAGTGATTCACAATCCACTTATATACCAATTTAAGGCTACCACATCGGTACATTTACCAAAATCTTGCGGAAAATTAATGCAAAATTTTCAAATTTTAAATGATATTGAATATTAAATTTACATTTAACCTGCTATTCAAGCAGACAGGGCAATATTTCAAATGCTTTTTATGAAATGCAGAAAAACCGAACAATTTTAGAGATTTTTTACCGGATATTCATATATATATATATATACCTTTGGATTCTTTGGAATATAGACATTTTACTACATACTTGGCCTACCTTTGTGGATGGTTTCATCACGAATGGTTTTATTTTTGATTTGCCAATTTCATTTGCATCCATTAATTAATTTCCACCACCGGCTTTACAGTGCTGCACTATTGATATTTTTGAAAATTCCAATAATTGTATTGCTCTTGAGTAAACTAATAAACTATCTATTTCGAAAGTTCTTTTTTCACTTTTCTTAATTGAATTGCATTTTGAATGATTGGAGAACTTATATTTATTTCCCGGCATTCCTACAAATAGCAGAGATATTGATGGATTCATAAAACTGAAAAACTTTTCTTACCACAATAGCTATCAAAATTGTTTTATGTGATTCTTGAGTTTAACGAAATTATTTTCGGGGTAATATTTTCAAAAATTTGCTTTTTTCTTCCTTTAAACATTTAAAAATTGATTTTTATTCCTCTAACGACTGGAATCATTTGTTTCATTTTGACACTTCCACAATAAAACAAAAACATTCTAAATTTAATCCTCTCCTGGAGGTAGTGGTTGATTGACGTCGGGCACTAAAGCAGTGGGTGGCTGAACAGAACCAGTTACCACAGTACTTATAACCGGTACCGTGGAGACTGTTGAGATGGTGGATATTTCCATGGGTTCTTCAATTTCCTTTTTAATATTTTCTGCAGATATAAAACCGCCACTGTCGTCCTACAAAAAAAAATTAAATTTTAATTAAACAAAAATGATTTTTTTTAAACATTCCACCCTTACCGTTATAAACACGTCGACAGCATTACCCGTTATAATATCCATAATTTGTGGTGTTACACCCGACATGGGTTCTTCCTGAATGCTCTGTGCATATTCCAATAAAGGTTGCCTTAAATCAGGACACTGCTCAAGGGCTGAATGCAACTGCTGAGGAGGTAGTTGTAATAGAACCGACAATGAAGTCGGTTTCAAACGTTGAATACACTTGAGGAAACCCTCCCAAATAACTTTGTGACGCCACACCTGCTTCAGGATTAATCTTTGCAGTAGATTGATAACAAAACTATTACCCAAACGCGGATACAAAGTTAAACTTTGTATTATTGTACGCATAAGAAGTGTGGGTATGGGTACAATTTCTACCAATTGTTGCAGCACTCCGATTAGTACATCTTGTGTGAACACTTCCTTTTCGGCCAAACACATTGACGTAGCCTTGACAATAAATTTCAAATCACATTCATTTACATCAATATTGTGAAGAGCTACCAAAATATCTGAGGGGGTGGTAGCCATTGTCTGGGTGGCAAACTCGGGACCAATACCCAAGAGGCGATTAAATACCTCCTTGACAACAACTTGATTAAGTTTTATTAATTTCGGTAAAGCGGCCAGTATCTCAGTGCGATTGAGACCACTTAAGATGGGAATTAGAACTCGTACATCTTTTATCTTCTGGGCATAGAGTTCCCGCACACGGAACACTAATTCAGGATGTGGTGTGGGCTGCCTTTCGGTTAGTATGTAAATAATACGAATTATCAAAGTCTCACAACCTTTGGGGCAATCTTCAATTAATTTCAAGAGTATTGGATTTTCAGGACCCAAATTCTTAATGGCCGCATCAATGGAACGTAACATGGTCCTTTTCAAATCAGCTGAGGTATTGGCATAAATTTGTGCTAATTTTTCCAAAAACAACTCCGGCTTGTGTGGTATTAAGGCCAACATTACGGTGAGGCATATTTTGGCAGTCTCCTCACGCCAAGCGGTCTCCACATCCGGCCTACCGAATTCCTCACCAAATATGGCAGCAGGTGGTATTTCTTTTTCCAAAAATGTACACCATTCCAGGGCGAATTCATTAATGCGTGGTGGCAGCAGTTTCTGACTGTGATACAGTGTCAGGATGTGTTCCATTGCCTTATCTCTCAAGTCACTACGTTCGTGTACACTAAAATTGAGTAAATGTCTCAAACATTTGGCTCTTCTGGGTGGCCTTAGGATACACATGTCCTTTAGCAATTCCAAACCATGGGAGGTATAATCTTCCAACAGTATCAGGCCCAAGAAAGGCTTCAGTACCTCATCGGTTATAATGGGAGCCTCTAAATAAACACGACGCATCAGCAAAACCTTGTCACGGAATTCACATTTGGCTATGATACCCTGGACCAGTTTCAGCAACAGCTCATTGTAAGCATGATCTGGACGATTTTCCGACTTAACATACGAATGTCGCGTGAAACCTTGCAGCAGGCAGTATTCCTCGTACAGCCATGAGAAAGCCAAATCAATACGTTGCTTAATATCCAACATAATAAAATCGAAAATATGATAACGAACATTATCGGGAAATGTGGCCGCCATAACAGTCAACAATTTGCGACGCTTTGCCGAAACTCCACCAATAATACATTGGCGTTCGGAATTTAAAATACGTTGCACGGCATCCATTAGGAATTTCTCTTTCATTTGCCGCGAAAAGGTCTTGGTGATTTCTTGTAACTTCAAGGCCTTGGCCTTTTGTTTCATACGTTCGATTAACTCCTGTTCCCCTTTAACACGTTCCATATTTTCTCTCAACTTTTTGGTGGCCTCCTCTTTACGCAATTGTTCCTCATCTAAAGGTGTTAATGATTGCGAGGAGGTTTCCACATCCATTGGTGTTTCAGTTGCTGGAGCAACAACTGCTTGCACCGTTTTTGCTTTCATTGGTGGTTCTTTGGAAAATGCCGCTGAGCCAGGGCCTATTTTTCTCTCCGTCATTTGTTGGCCCAATAAGTTAGATATTTTTGAAACCTGTTGAGGTATGGACAAATCTTTGATTGGTTCAAATTCGCGTAGAAAGTGTTCGGGTACAGCTTCGGGAAGTTGTGGTAAGCATTCCACAACCAAGTCCACTACCACCTTAGCCGATCTGATATTTTCAGCAATAAATTTTTCATTGACTTTGGTGGATTTCTGTTTCTGCTTTTCCAACTCCTCTTCGTCGATAACCATTTCCTGTACTTGCTTACCTCCTTCGCCATCTTCGGCATCGTCATCTCCTGAGGGACCCAAACGACGTTTTTTGGCAGTACTATTTGCCATTTCCAAAATACGCTTTTGTCTACGCTGCTGTTCCTGTTTATCCATTTTGGGTATTGCTCGTTGGATTTCACCCTGTGAGGCACCCAGATCCATAAGCATATGTCTAATGGCAGTTTGATATTCATAGGAACCTTTATTCTTCAGCAAACTTGTCAATTGCATTTTTAAACTTTTTCTCACCGAGCTGACCTGAGAATCGGACAAGGTAGGCGGTAAACTATTGTTTAAATTTTTAAATGCCTCCACAACAGGGCCCATTAGACTTGGACGCATTTTGGCAATGGTACACAAACTACTGGTACATGCTATCAAATTAACCGACGAAATATATCTAGCCCCATGGAATCTCAATAGAATGTCAAAGATACGCAGAGCTTCTTCCTCCAGCTTTTGTTTTTTAATTATTTTCAAATTATCTGCAACATTTTCCAATGAGAAATCATTCTCCTTCTTTTGACTATCTTCATCGGGATAACTCTGCAGGACCACAACACCTTCAAGGAATTTAATGGCATTTGTGCGTATACCATCATTCTCATTATCAATTAAATCCAAAATTTGAGCTTTAATCAGGCTCATGACATTCCATGCCTCCTCGGCACTGTCGCTTAGATCTTGTTGGCTACACAGCCATTGTAAGCCATGTTTGTAGATATTGCCACAGGCCTGTATGACACGTTTTATAACTTGGGGAGAACGATCACGCAGCAGGGAGGATATATGTTTGATGATTTGTGGTAAATATTCCACTTTTACTTTGCTAAAGTTAAAAAGAGGAGCATGTTTAAATTGAAAATGGAATTCATTGATTCTTGTAATGCTACTCACCAAATTTGCTCCATAAAAGCCACCACTTGCTTGCGTACATCCATGTTTGTATCATGAACCAAAGCTAGAATTGTTTCAAGAAACTCTTCCAGTAATTCTATGCAGGAACCAATGATGGTCTCCTGGATTTTCACCAACAAATCGCATTTGGTTTGTGGCTCAGCTGTGGATAATTCATTGACCCATTCTACTATCTAGAGAACAGGAAGAGGTAAAAAATATAAACATTAAATTAAAAAGAAAGGGCGCTATTTAATGGACATTTTTCTTCCAATGAAGACAAAATACCGGAGACAGATTCTTTAGTATAAAATTTGTATTTTAAATGCTACATAGGAGTTAAAAACAAGAAGTATCCGTTGTCCAAAGGGACAACAACGCGACATGGCTGTATCTCGACTTAAGCTTTATTAAGTAAATATGTATGGGCAACTAATCAATTATCCAAAATAATATTTATATTGATATTTTCCAATGAGAATTCCCTTTAATTATCACAAGACACCAAAGTACCGGTCTTCGGCGTTTTCTACAGCATCACAATTTGGAAACATATACTTACTCGAGCTCTAGCCGCTGCAGTCTTTTCATCCGTAAACAAATTAACTGTTTCACTTAGAAATTGAGGACGGCCCAGTATTGGATCCATTTTAATAAATTGTTTATGTTTTAAAAACTATTTTTTGGAGAATAATTGTTAAAAAACAAAACAATGTTTTCTCAGACCATCAGAAACAGTGCGTCGAATGAAATGAGCCAATCTAACTGAAAAACGTTCCACATGCTACGCATACGAAGCAAGGTAGATATACAAGGTAGCCGCATCGGCGAATTTCTACAACAAACATCGGTTGTTGTATTTTGATATGTCAAAAATATTTTGCCAAAACAAACAGATTGACAAGATTTTTTTACACAAATTCTTGTAGAAAATGTTAATAGAAGTACAAAAAAGCTCTTCGAAATTCGGAGATTTTCATTTATAATTTTGTTTTTTAATTTTTTGGTTCAACATTACAACAACATTTTTGACATTTATTTGTCCAACAGCTGGGCCGATGCGGCTACCTTATTAAATATACCTTGATACGAAGGGAAAAGCCAAGACAGAGATAAAATGCAAGGCATACTCAATCATGTTTACGAATGAGGCATAGAAGAATGTTAATCAGCTGATAGATTTCGTGAAAGGACACAAACATTTGGTGTTAACATTTTTCAGTGAATTACTAGTAAATTGTCATTAATGCTGACGGCAAACGCGCTCAGATCTTTTGTAGTACGTTTACATTGTACCGGATTTCGTTAACCCAGGGGGTTTAAATTATCAATTTCATTGTATATATGTCAAATAAATAATCATAAAGTAGGTTAACCCGGTAAAAAGTTCCAATACAAATGCCTTTGTATCAGAGAGATAGAGGGAAAGCTATGACAAGTCCATGGTAAAGTGTTTTCAATACGTTTAGATTAATAAAATCTACTTGATTTTGATATATCGATTTCGTAGCGTTTATGTCAAATAAACATTCGTCATATACCCAGTGGATTTTATTTTATGTGTCAGCTGATAGATTTGAAGAAAGGAACATTAACCCCGGCGGCAAGAGCGCTCAGATCTTTTACGGTACGTTTAAATTGTACCGGATTTCGTTACCCTGTAGGTTTAAATTGTCAATTTCATTGTATATATGCCAAATAAATCCCCATATGTTAGTGAACCCGTAAAAAGTTCCAATGCAAATGCCGTTTTTACAGAGAAAAATATATTTAAAATATCCACCCCTTGTTGTGAACCCTAACAAAATTATTTAAAAATTCCATGTCTTGTTCATGGCATAATTAGAGACGGTAGTCCCATTTGAGAATTTTACCATGGAAACATTTAATTTCTTTAATTTAACATTTAAATTCTTATAATAACCGATTTTTATTACAGTTGTTTTTCTTCTTCTTCTTTTCTTTAGTTTGTGATGGAAATGATGTATGGCCATTGTGTGCTTTATTAGAACACATCCATGTAAACATAACTGTACTGTCAATGTGTTTTGTGTCCGTTTCAAATCCTTTCACGCGTTTTCCATCTAAATTGGCAACATTGGGCGTAACGTCAATCTGCACGAATTATGCGACAAAAACGAAACGTCAACAGACACACAGAAACAGAGGGCAAAGTGAAACGTCAAAACAAAATTATCTATTTTTCAGTCAAATTTAGCAAATTAAGTTTTGCCCACTCTTGGATTGTATTTGATTTCTGTTCGTATCGGGGAAAATTCGCAATTAAATTTATTAATTCAGTTTAATAAATCGTTAATGATGAATCGGGTCCGCTTCGATTCCTTCAGGGAATAGAGACAATTCAAGTGTGTCTAATGGAATATATTTGCATTGAAATACGACAAAACAACGACGGCAAGTGAAAAGTACGAGCGAAAGAAAAAAACTTTTTTTTAAAGAAGCAAAAACAAAAAGTAAAGAAAAAAAACACTCATACGCCTTAAAACAACACACACAGCACAGTAGTGCAAAAGAAAAGCAACAACTACAACGGTGAGAAGCAGCAGCGGCAGAGCCAACAACACTACGTCTTGAGGAAGAGATTAAAACGCGAAATAATACCGACCGACCGTGCGATCGAGAAAAGCGAAAACTGTGTAAAGTTATTTTTTATTTTTGCAAAAAAGAAAATAACAACAACCAGAAAAAAAAACAAACAAAACGAAAGCCATAAAAAGTCAATAAGGAACGAAAGGGGGCAGTGGAGGCTGCAGTGCGTCGAATGGCAGAATAGGCGAGAGATAGATAAATAACAAAGACTCAAATCAAGGCCACCATTGAGGAAAAACGAAACGAAAATTAAACAAAACTAGTCGACACATTAATTGAAATTTTAAACGACGTTGACGACGACTACGACGAGGAGGAAGAGAGCCATCCAGCCAGCCACCACATCCAACAATAGGTTGCAAATACACAACAACATATCCAAAGAGAGTGCGAGAGAAGTTAGCCGCAGCAGCTAGAGTTGTCGGCAAACACATACACAGGCAGCTGCAGCAGCGGAGAGGAAGAGACCGGCTTAGAATTCAAATCCGAGCTAGTGGAGGCGTTTTGCCGCAACCACTGTCAATGTCCGGTAATCAAGCTCAGATCGGTGCTGGAGGTGGCAACAGTGGCGGCGGTGGTGGGGGCAGTGCTGAACAGCAGCAACAGCACACACCACCCCAGATAATAGCCTCTGGTGCGACAGCAACCTCCAGTTCATCAGCAGATGCCGTAAATATGGCAGCTGATTCATCGCCTCGCGAATCGGGTGACGACTCGGAGGATGAAAGTGAAATTCTTGAAGAGTCTCCTTGCGGGAGATGGTTGAAGCGGCGCGAAGAGGTCGATCAACGTGATATACCCGGCATCGATTGTGTCCATCTGGCTATGGACACCGAGGAGGGTGTGGAAGTCGTCTGGAACGAGTTGCAATACAGCAGCATACAGGAACTCAAATCGCAGGAGGAGAAAATGCGTCAGGTCTTTGACAATCTGCTGCAGCTGGACCATCAGAACATAGTCAAGTTCCATCGCTACTGGACAGACATACAAAATCCGGAAAGGCCGCGTGTGATATTCATTACGGAATTCATGTCGTCGGGTTCTCTAAAACAGTTCCTTAAACGCACCAAGCGTAACTCCAAACGCCTCCCGTTGGAGGCCTGGCGTCGCTGGTGTACACAGATACTTTCAGCGCTTAACTATTTGCATTCCTGCGTACCGCCCATCATCCACGGCAATCTAACCTGTGATAGCATTTTCATCCAGCACAATGGTCTGGTCAAGATCGGGACAGTGGTGCCCGATGCAGTCCATCATAGCATCCGCCAACAGCAACAGCACAAAGCTGTGGAACATGGTGCCCTACACTTTATGGCTCCGGAATATGGTGCAGTTCGCCAGCTAACGGCTGCCGTTGACATCTATGCGTTCGGCATGTGCGCCCTGGAAATGGCTGCATTGGAAATACAAAATAGTGAACCAAATACCACAATACACGAGGAGACAATATTAAGGACGATCAATAGTTTGGAAAACGATTTGCAACGAGATCTAATCTATAAGTGTTTGCGAAGGAATCGTTCGGAAAGGCCTAAAGCCAGTGATTTACTTTTTCATCCGCTATTATTTGAGGTGAGTGAGTAATTGTTTGAACATTTTTTGTTTTGTTGTTTCTGTTATCCATTTCGTTTGTCAGTCTGTCGGACTTGCCATGCTTTGTGCATTCTGATCGTGTCTCTGTACAAGTCTTTGGTGAGTGTATTGGTTCGCCTGTCCGCCTGCCTGCCTGGTGCTATGTGTGCTTCATTCATATATGTGCATGATGAAGAAGTTGATGACGCAGAGGAGGTGGAGGAGGGCGATGTAGACGACAAAGTAAAAAAAGATACAACAGCACCAACAACAAAGGCGAGGGACCAAACATGCACAGCAACTTAAAAATATAAACTACCATTTCTAAAGTAGGACATTGACTGACTGACTAATAAAGCTCTCAACACCAACAGCAAGTTTTCTTGCAGTGGGATAGTGTGGTGTGCCTTTAGGCTTCTCCTCAGGCTACTAGGTACTACAACTAATTTTGCAAAATAAAATTCATTAGCACCTACACACAAAACACTTGCTTTTTAAAAGCAAATTTCTTTTCAAATAAAAAACGAAGGAAGGGAAAAGATTTGTGAAAGGTGTCAATGTCAATGGTAGTTCCAAAAACAACAACGACAAAGTGTTCATTAAACACATGTGCCAAACTAGGCGATACCCATTTCTTTTAATCTACAAACAAAAATATGTGTGTGAATCACTAGGCTTGTAAAGTTATGTCCTTGCTGTTGGTTTTATTATGACTACTACTGCTGGCAATCATTTTATATTCTATACTGCTGCCGAGGGGTAAACTGAGTCATATATGCCGTAACTGGGAATTCTACACAGCCATCAATATCCTTTTCGATATTGTTGTTTTTTGTTTTGTTTTTTATCTTCCTAATATAAATTAGATGTTTTTGTTTTTAGAAATTAGTTTTACACGAAGGTATTTTATTTTTTGTTATTGATCCCCTAAAGTATGTTACATTGAGGCATGTGTCTTGTGTTGTTGTTTCACAACACACAAAGTAAATGATTCACACTGCGGCGATAGACAGCGAGAGACTTGTTTTTGCAAAACAAGTATATGGGTACAAGTGCAAGGCAAACTAATAAATATCACATAACAAACAAAATACACTGTAAAAAATACTTGGTGTAAAAAACAGTAGGGATGATACAACAACAACTGTATAAGAGAACGGCTGCTTTAAATGAACTAGTTCCGTAATTCCTTTAATGATTCATTCTATCAATGATATATAAAAATGATATAAATATAAATACTTACACAATTTGTCAGATATCCGCTAATTCTCTCCTGTTTCTTTGACTGAATGAAATGTAATTGATCAAGTTCACTGGTTCATTTCAGTGAATCGCTCTATTGAACAATTTACATTGTGTTGCTCACGCAATACATGTCAACTGTGTTTAGCATCCTTTCTCTCAGTGCACACCAAGATACATTGATTAACATTTTGTTGTTGTATATTTTTTTGTTCTTACTACTACGACCACCAACATTCTTTGTATAATATGTAGCAGTTATTATACACATATTTGCCATAAATAGTTTTGCCATTGAACTTTTTTGTTTTTGTAATAAAATGACCCCCAATGTGAACTGTCATCTCTCACTTTTCTCTATCTCTTTCTCTTACTATCACCGGAGGCTTTCATTTTACAAAAGAAATCAACTGATTTAACCTTCGTTAGTAATTGAATTAAATCCAAAGGCCAGACCACCAGTATGGGACCATATAAAAAGATATACATATTCATACATTACTACATACATATGTATATGATAGTAAATAAATTACAATGCTTCAGTTCGTCCTCGGACGGCTCACAAGAAAGACGTAAAAAAAATTTTAAATGAGTACTACACGCCCACGGGCTTAAAAATAGATTTTTACAAAATGGCGGTTGTTAAGCGTTCGCTTAACTAACACGTGTGTTTTTAAATGGATAACCTATAAATTACGAGTCGTTCAACAAAATCCAAACAGCTGCGCATGAAATTTTTAATTTTCGTAAATTTAATAGCAAAAGAAGATGCTTTTCGCTACTATGTGACTCCTTCACAGTAGAAGAGTTCACTGATACACAAGGCTTAGAAAGTCTGAACATTGTGGTCAAATTCTTAAAGAAGATCGAAGTCAACCTGCAAAACACAAACCACCATCTATGGATAAAGTCAAATTCGTAGCAAAGCTACATACGGATACATGGCACTAAACCTTCTATCCCTATAGAAAGTGGGCCAACCAAAATAATACATAAAAAAAAAAAAATTACAATGCTTAATATTTAAGTAAATTAAAAGAGAGATGATTTAATGGCAACTAAATATAATCGTTGCTTTATAGTTATGTACGAATCCATCACAATACAGATCCATTATGGGTATGGGTAACATGTAGAAGTTCTTTTTTAGAAATAGAACAAAATTAGAGATTTATGTGTCTAATTCTATGAATCCTGTATTTCTATACAATCTACAGAAGGACTAGGAATAACATGTAATATTAATCGAAAATCCATCCTATCTCAAATTATAGGCAATTTGTTTTTATAGTCTTCTAAGACCCATATCTTTTGATCCACACCATATACAGTCACATGTCGCACCATTTTGGAAAGGGCAAAAGGGATTGGAGAGGGACTATAATGGACCAAAGTTCGACTTTTAGGCGGTTTTTCAATAAAATCGGGTTCTAAAACCCAGTTTTTTGACTGTATCTCCAAAACGGTTTCAGATACCCCCACTCAATAGAAAGGTATTTTTATAACCTTTAAAATGATACCCATTTTATATTTACCGGATTCGTAAAACCGGATATAACCGGGTAATCGTACCCGAAATTCCGGGTCAAATATCCGGGTATGCGGGTACGTCCCACAAGAAAAAAAGATATCCCCATATTTAAGGTAAAAATACCTATCTGGAAAAAAATTTCAGAAAAATCTGATCGTTTTTACTAAACTAGAGTTGTTCCAAAGCCTCAGACTTGAGCAGGATGTGTATTGGTTTTTTGCATTTTTAACCGTTTCCCTTAAGTTAACACATTTCTAACATTAAAATAATAACTTGTTGTTGTAATTACTAAAAAATACAATTTTAAATATTTATAAATTTCTAATTTTCTTTCCAAAAAAATCTTCCTGATTTTCGACACAAACAAACCAACAACAATAGGTGCATTCATTAAAATTACTGGCTGCCCATTGTCTGATATTCTCCTCTTCGAATCGTACAATGTTCTCAGAAACGGTTATCGATGGCATGATGCAACGTTACAATCGACCCGAAGTGATAATGGCATATGTGAAATTTTCACGTAATCCCGAAGCTACTGAAGATGAACAACAGCAGCAGCAACAGACAAATGCTGCTGAATCACCAACATCGGGCGAAGCGAGTGAAGCAGTTGGCGGTGAAGATGCCGGACAAACCAGCCCTAAGGCTTACATTAGAGAATATCGTCTGTCCGATGTACCATCTGCAGATAAATTGGAAAAATTCGTCGAAGATGTCAAGTACGGGGTATACCCTTTGACGGCGTTTAGTGGCAAGAAACCGCCACATTTTCGTTCACGTGCCGCCTCGCCGGAACGGGCAGATTCCGTGAAATCGGCCACCCCCGAACCTGTAGATATTGAATCACGGCGCATTGTTAATATGATGTGTAGCGTCAAGAAATTAAAGGAGGGCAGCAATGACATACTGATGACCATTTTATTGCGTATGGATGATAAAATGAATCGTCAGCTATCGTGTGAGGTTACCGAAACGGATACAGCATCTGATCTGACACAAGATTTGGTACGTTTAGGTTTTGTACATATTGAAGATCAGGAAAAGATACAGGCTCTGTTGGAGGAGACATTGCGTAGCACATTTTCGGAGGGTGGTGCTGCATTTGGTGAATATGGAGCTCAGGAGAGGACATTTAGTGCTACAATTAATGAGCAGCTGCAACAGCAGTTAGGTGGTGGTGGTAGTAGTAGTACCGCTGGAACAACAACAACCACAATGATTAACAGTAATACTAATAATAATAACAATAACAACAACAATAGTAATAATAATAACAACAACAATAATGCCATAATGATGACCACAAAGACATTGCCAACAGCAGTAGGAACAGGAGCGGGAGGAGTAGCATCTGGAGTAGCCACGGCAGCAGCAATAATACCACAACAACAAACCCTACAACAACCAGCAACTACAACAACATCCCTAACAAATAACCCAGCCGGCGTAAATATGACAACAATGCAGCAAATGGAAAGAAACTGGTCGGTGGCTGATAGTGATGCAGTGGGAGGAGCTGCCGCTGCAGCCATGATGATGCGTGCCCATAATCCAACACAAATTAATTCAACCATGTCCTCACCCCTGCCTCCAAATGCAGCTGTAGCAACGGCCACCTTGGGTCTAACCGGTACGGTGACAGTACCAATGGTGGCCTCTGATCCTCTGGCGGGCCATGTTATGTATGTGCCACATGAGCAGTTGCAGCAAATTCATGCAACGCATCATCAGCAACAACATCATTCACATCCTAATACACAGCAGCAAATGTCACCCCCACAGCAACAACAAATGCATCAGCAACATATAGATCCCTCAATGTTGTCCATGGATGTTACGGATAGTGGAAATGTGAGTCATCATCATCCTCAGCAGCAGCAACAGCATCAGCAACAATACATGAATCCAGTTACTGTATCTATGGCCACAAATAGTCCGGCAATGTATGCACCTCCTCCCCACTTAACAAATATGTCGGTTGCCCATTCACCTCAAACGAATGCCACCCCAGCCGCCTCCTTTGCATCTCCCTCGACAACAATCAACTAATACACAGAGTATTTTAATTTATGATAGCAGAAAACAATTAAAACAGTAAATGAAATGAATGTGGAATGTGTTTCCTAGAACTCCAACTCCTCCACCTCCTATCCCTATTGCCTCACTCTCTCTCTCTCTCTCGCAATGCCTCTACAAATATTTGTTTAAGTAAGTTTTGAAAAACAAACAAAAAAATTACTAAACCTAACAACTCATATTTTAAATAGAGTCCTTGATTATTATTTTATATATAAGAATACTTTTGATTTAAGCTAAGTGTCCTAGTGGTCCTCCTACATTTCGCTTGATTTTTGTTTTCTTCCACACACACACACACAAACCTACATTGTATTGAGTACAGTCAGCTTAGATGCACGCCGCACTACTATCCCTACCCTTCCCGCCCCTCTTCTCTCTTAGCAATAAGTTTTGAAAACAAACAAAAAAAAACATGCCGTAATTGTTTAAACAAAATGTAACGGCAAACTGAGTCCTTGTCAAAATTTATATACGAAGAAAAAACTAAAAAAAAAATAATAAAAATTTAAGAAAGAGACTGTCTAAACGAGTATATAGTTATTTAATTAATTTTATTAGTTTTCTTTTTTGTTGTATTGTTTATTTTGTTAATATATTGTTTCATTTTTTTTAACTTCTTAACTTACAAGTCAAACACAAAAACAAGAGAAAAAAATAAAGAAAAAACAAAAACAAATTAAAAAGATTAAGAGTTTTATGACAAAATCCAATAACAATACACACACACAACCATTAGCGATATAAACTTTGGTACTTTCAGAGTAGAGTTAAAAATAAAACAAATAAAAATATTAAATTTAAAAATATGGCTTCCAAAAAAGGCAAATTTAACAAAAACTAAAGTAAAGTAAATCAAAGATAAACACATTATTTCATTATTTGAACAATGACAGCATAGTATCGACACATGGATGTCGCCAACCTCGTGTCGTCGTTGTGGTCGTCGTCGTCGCCTATCCATTAAATAAAGACAAGAGAAAACCAAATACCACAGAAAATCTACTCCATTAAATTGCTTGATAAATAAAACAACAAAACAATTTTTCAAATTACGCTGTGTAAACTAAAAAACAAAAAAAAAATAAAATTATATTTATATATTTAATGACTGTGACTACTCATATATAAAAATTAAATATACATTTCTAAGCATACACATAATAAACATTTGATTGATGATTAAGTGAAAGAAACAAGGTCCCTTTTTAACTTCTTTAATACCTGGGCCCGGCCTACCACAAGCAAGAAAGAAAACCCCCCACAGTTAAGCGCTTTATTATTACTAAAAGTTATTATTATTATTACTATTATTAATTAAATATTATTATTGATAATGATCAGTAAATAAAATCTTCTCTTCCTCTTCCTCCTCTCTTCCCCTCTATCTACCAATATACCCCCTCGAAATGCAATAAAAAATAATTTCTGATAAAAAAATTTAAAAAAGATGTAATAGAAAAACCAACCAATAGCTTATATATTTAAATGTATTTATTGTAATTCATCATCAATAACAACAATCAGAAAAAAAATAACCAACATTTTTAAATTCTTTTCATACAACAGCATACATATTAATTAATTATACATAAATATTATTTTTGTGAAAACAAATGCCATTTTTTTTCTCTATACATATATAAAAAATAATTCTATTTTGCAATAAAACACACATAAACATTAATAAAGTCATCTAATAAAGTATTACTTGGAAAATGCGTAGAAAGTAATACAATTAAAATCATAATATATTTCATAGAAAGAAACAACAAACATAAAATAACTCATTATAAATAATAAAAAACAACAACAAGAAAAAACAAAAAATTCATATAATGAAGACAAAAAACCAAATAAAAAAACAAATACAAAAATTTTGTTTTATTATAATATTGTCTCGCAAAAAAATTTAGGAAAACCAAAAGGTCTAGAAGACTATGAGCTGTTCTTATAGAAGGTCTTCTCAGTGAAGATTTCCAGACATCTACGAGAAGACTGGAAGGTCTCCTAATAGAAGACTTGAAGGCCTTCTAGTAAAATAATATATGGTATTCGTATAGAAAATTTGAAGGTATTCTAATAGAAGATTAAAATAACTTCTAATAGAAGACTACTACTTATACAATAAATTTTCTACAAGAGGTCTTCTAATAGTAGGTCTTCTTATAAAATATCAATAAGACTTCTTATAGTAGACGAGAAGGTCTTCTAGTTTAAGAGCAAAAGATCGTCTAATTGAAAACAAGAAAGTCTTCTTATTGAAGACTTAAATGTCTTCTTATAAAAACGTTGAAGGTCTTCATATAGAAAGCTTGAAAGTCTTCTTATTGAAGACTTGAAGTTCTTCTAGTAGAAGTCTTGAAGGTCTGGTATAAAACTAAGACCGTTTAAAGAAGATAGAAGGTCTTTTATTGAATACTAGAAGGTCGTCTCATAGAAAAAATTAATTTTTTTAAGTTCTCGTTTGTAATGGACCTTAAAACAACATTTAAAAAAATCACGCTTCTGTCAGTCTTTCTATGTTTAGTCCAATGAAAAACTATACATATTTCTTCCAAAAGACGTTTTAGTCTTCGTTTTGTTTAAAAGTTTTAGCCATTTGTCAAATTTTTATCAAAATTCGATTCGAGTTTCAATTTAAAAGGCTCATTTCATATAAAACCATTTGTTCTTTCCGCCATAACAAGTAACGGAACGAATAACATGAAAACCATAGCATACTTTTAGGCAACATGTAAATTAAGCATTTAAAACCAACTGTGACATTAAGTTACAGTACAATGACACAATAACAGGCATCAACCTACTGTGAATTGCAACATTCGTATTCCAACAGTTCCGTTCAGTGAATACATTACAATTGAACTTATTCATCATACAGAGAGGGAAACAAAAGTTTAATGCCGGAACAATCTTTAATTTTTAATGAAATTTCCAGTTTAATAGTCTGATTTTATAGAAAAACATTTTTTCTTGCCACTATAATAAGTAACGGAATAAATAACATAAAAACTATAACATACCTTTAGGCAACATGTAAATCAAGCATTTAAACCCCATTCGGACATCGTGTTACAGTACATTGATACAATAACAGTCATCAATCTATTGTGAATTGTATACCAACAGTTCCGTTCAGTGAATACATTGCAATTGAATTCAATTCACGATAGAGAGAGGGAAACCATCATGGTTTTCTAATTATTAATGAAATTTCCAGTTTAAAAGGCAAATTTTTTAGAATAAACTGTGATCTTGCCTCAATAATAAGTAACGGAACGAATAACATGAAAACCATAGCATACTTTTAGGCAACATGTAAATCAAGCATTAAAACCAATTGTGACATTAACCGTCATCAATCTACTGTGAATTGCAACATTTGTTTTCCAACAGTTCCATTCAGTGAATAAATTGCAACTGAGCGGTTTTCTTTTAGTTGGTATCCCACATCATTCGTAAACAATCCATCATCCCACATCATTAGTAACTTTCGGTTCTCCGCTTTGACTTCTTCTTTATCGGGCATTTTGTCTTATCCCATCCCATTCGTTACAGGTGGAACGTTTTTCAATGTTTATGTGTCGGTGAAAAAGGCGGACTTTCTGCATTCACTCGGCATCTTCGGGAATATCCGCATCAAAATTAAATCTAAATAAAAGGTTTACATACAATACAAGGATTTAACTGATCGGGACCACATTATTTTAAATTGAGGTAATGTAATTCTTTTTCCTTTTTATCTTTTTAGAAGGGGATTGAATCCATCCACGGCAAAGCCAACACCACGCACGATGGGTCTCCCGTAAGGTCTCCGCAACCCAACCCCATTTTACTCTTTTAATTCATATCAGTATGTTGGTGAATGCACAGAACGGACAGAAGCACCAGACACGACACACCATCGATCGTAAGACCCTTGTACAATGTCGAAAATGGAAGGCGAACTTCACTCGGGGAATAAATGAAATTTTATTCACTTTCGTCCACGTCCTATTGGACCACTTGGTTCGTGTGTGGGGTTGGCTTTGACCTAGGTTTAGGAAATAAATCATAACCTTTCATTCATTTTTTTCGCCTTTTTAGTTGTGCATAAAGCAGATATAATTCCCATAATTCCAAACTCCCGGCAGAATAAATTGTGTCGTGCCTAACAATGCCGGAACAATCTTTAATTATCAGTGAAATTAGCGAAGAAATAACTACTGAAAATGGTGCGGATACCTCAGTAGTCGATGCCAGTGAAGCTACACCAGAGATTAAGGCAACATCACCAACAGAATTGAAACAAACGCCAACTTCCAATTATGATCTCAATAAATTTCAATTGCATCGAATACTTAATAATAATACACGCAATAAGAGTATAGCTCTGTTGGGTAGCTTTCCCAATATATCGGATACGGATAATGCTATTGTGATTTTGGAAAAGCATGCTTTTCGGGAAAGCGATGTGTCCACCACGACGGCTAAGGATAAGGAAAATAATGATCAAGTAGGTGAAAGTACAAAAAATGGCTCCAAGCTTGTGGCCCCTGGTCGTGGTTCATATTTTGGTAATGATCTAAAGGTACAAACGGATTTTATTAACAATGTCTATGGCAGTTATCAGTGTACACCACCGGCTGAATTAAATGGTAGGATAAATGGTGAAAATTAATTTAATTTGTTAACTATTTGTTTATGGTTTTTAATAGGTGTCAAGGCCACCGTGGTGTATCCGGCCACTGAAAAACACATTGAAAAATATTCCATTTGCCAAAAATATTTAATTAATGAAACCCCGGAATATTATAAGGATATTACACTGCCGTATATAACTTCATCGCAATTTTCATTGGAGGTAAGATATGAAACAGGTACAATGTTTCAAATCGATAAAGGGATTGGATTGTAAAAAAATCTGAAATTTTTACCACATGTATCCCTTCGTATTCTGATTACAACAACATAATTTTTTATGCCGAAATCTCTGAAAAATCTGAAATTTTTACCATTGGTAGCCCTTTGTTTTCTGATTACGAGGAAAATGTCAAAATTTCAGAACTTTCTAAGATGTGGCCCTAAAAGAAATCTGTTCCAAAAAAGTTTATTTTACAATTATTTCATTTCTATAGTGGGTCTACAACATTCTGGAACATAAACAAGAAACGGAACGCATAATTTACGAAGATTCCGACAAGGAAACAGGTTTCATTCTCTTGCCCGATCTCAAATGGGATGGTCGAAATGTTGAAAATCTCTACGTTTTGGCAATTACCCATAAACATGATATCAAATCGATACGAGATCTTAATGCATCACATTTACCCTTACTGCGTAATATACGCAATCGAACTTCGGAAGCTGTAGAAAAACGTTATGGTTTAGCTGCATCCCAACTGCGTATGTATTTCCACTATCAACCATCGTTTTATCATTTGCATCTGCACATAAATCCCATACGCAATGATGCACCCGGCATTTGGTGTGAAAAATCCCATATGCTTGATACGGTTATTAATAATTTGGAATTAATGTCAGATTATTATGCTCGAGCAACACTGCCATTTGTTTTGTATGAAGGTAATAAACTGTTGGAATTGTATGAGGAGGAAATCGATATACGAAAGGCACCGAAACGTTTGGCTGATCATGATCATGTGGAGAAGGAGGAGGACGGAATTGAAGTTAAAAAACCTAAACTTGAAACAGCTGATGATAATGTTAGTACAACCGATAAGGTGACAAGTGCATCATAAAGTGGCTGTGATATATATTTACCATTTGAAGTTGAAAAAAACAACAAATAATAAACTTAATGAAAAAGTGGAATATAGAGATTTTACTTTTTTCGATTATACGGTTGAAAAACATGCTCAAAACCTTCAAAATTGGGGATACCTTTATATATGGGCTTCCGGAAAAAGTGAACCCATATTTACAAATTTTTAGTGGAGAGATTTGGTACCCAATAATAACCCAAAGTACTAAATTTCAGCGAATTCGGTTGAAAAAAGCGCTTAAGAACCCCAAAATACCGGAAATTGGGGTGTGCCGATACATGGGGGCTACCAGAAAAAGTGGACCTATATTTATAATTTTTAGTGGAGAGATTTGGTACCCAAAATACCAAATCTCAGCGAATTCGGTTGAAAAAAAAGCGCTTAAGAACCCCAGAATACCGAAAATTGGGGTTTGCCGATATATGGGGGCTACCAGAGAGAGAGAAAGATTTGGTACCCAATAAGAACCCAATATATCAAATTTAAGCGAATTCAGTTGAAAAAAACGTTTAAGAACCCCAAAATACCAAAAATTGGGGTGTGCCGATATATGGGGGCTACCAGAAAAAGTGAACCAATATTTATAAGTTTCTGTATAGACAATAAGAACCCAATTTCAGCGAATTCGGTTGAAAAACGCTCCCCATCTTGAATATGGCTCCTTTCAGGAAAACTGTCACTATTTTTATAACCTCGGCCTCGGCCCTTGGCTACGATAAAAATGTGCCTCATCAAAATATTGATTTTATTTTTTGTCGAAATTTTAAAAATCTTTGAACTTTTACAAAATGCTATTTTTCTCTTATATAACATGTGTATATATATGTTTTGTCAATGTGTAATAAATCTTTAGAATTCCCTCAAATCATTTTGGGAAAATTTATAAAAATCGGTCAAGTAGTTGCTGAGTTATTTGCATTTAAATTCAACCATATTCCGAATTACGCCTACTGTTGGGTGCTGGGCGCCTAATATGTAAAAATGAAAAACCACACAAAAACGAATTGTTTAAAAATGGCAATTTGTTCTTCATTCACAATGGCTGGCTGCTGGTTTGTAAAGAAAAAAATATAGCATACTTTTAGGCACAGCACATTGAATTGAGTTTAACCCTCAGCCTTGTGGCTGACTAATAACGGTATTAAAACACTTTGCTATGGCAAAAATGTGCCTCATCGAAATATTTATTTTAGGCCCTATGTTCCCTTGGACCAAATCCACTTCAAAGAATTTAAACCTCATATAAAGCGAATAAACTTCGTATTTTATTCTGTAGACATCCATGTATGTCGGCAACACCGACTAACACTATTTTTACTTGTTTTTTTTTTTTTAATTTTACTAATTCCAAACTCCTGCAACCAATCTTTAAAATATTTTTTTTTTTTCAAACAAGAAGAAAAGGTTATTCGGTTTTTGTTCTTCGTTTTATTTGTTACAATGATATACAACATTTGCATCATTTCATACGTATATGTATATATTTCTATATTTATAGTAAATATATAATTAATTATAATGAACAATATATATATATAGTTAAGCAAATTAATATTTATGAACATAATCATCATCATCATAACCTAGTGAATTGAACGTTGTGTTTCGTTACTAATATGAGTTTGTTTTTTATACACCTGTATATATTTATATAGATATTGGGATGTTTTTTGCCGGTCACTAAATTGCAATATCTGTGTATATAGAGTTTGCATATTTGAAGCCAGCTTCTTAGAGGCGGCGGTGGAGGACAGAAAAAATACAATTAAGCCTTTTTTTAAGTGAAAAATGTTTGGAAACAAAAAATGTCTTACAACAACTGAATTATTTATGTTTTTCTTTTTGCGTGTAGAAAATAAAGAATAGCTTCATTTTGTTTTTGGTGTAAGAGGCATTTCCTCAACCTGCAGCTTTGCTTTTAGACCATAAAACCAGTTGATTTTTTTGTTTGTTTTGCTTTGCTTTTAGACCATAATACCCGTGGATGGTTTTGCTCCCAAAATATCCGATAATTTTTGTTGATAATTGGCCAGGGTATTTGAATCGGTAATGCCTCGGGCTTTACACGACAATTGTAATGCGTTTAAATACTGCATTTCAGAGAATTGCAAACCTTGTTCTACAAGGGTTGTGAGTATAACCTAGAAAAAATAAGAGGAAGGAAAAAATTAATTAAAAAAATAATCTTTAATAATTTAGGTAAAATGTCCGAATATTTTTTTATTCGGAATTAATAAAATTATTTTTTAATTAAATATTTTAAAACCAATAAATATTCCATAATACTTACATCAGGTTCCATGCATAATAGTTCATAAAATTGTTTAGCTTGATCGAGAGCAACTTCACGGGAAGCAGTTATGTTGCTTAAGGTTTGCTGCAGGGCCGAGGCATTGCGGCAAATTCTCTTTACGGTAATTTGATCGATTTGCTCAATATAGTTGGAGGCTTGTATTAATATTAATGCCGCCAAATGGGCCAAGCCTTCAAAGATGTACTAATAAAAATCAAAAAAGAATTCCAATTAACTTTTTTTAAGAAATAAAAAATTATTTGTATTTACCCTTGTCTTTCTCGGATGTAAAGTTGTGCTAAAAGCTTCATCCAATTCGGACAAACGTTTGGTTAATATTTGCACTTGTCTATCGGGTTCCAAGACATCATCTTTGGAATCGATAAAGGCATCAGCTCGTGTACGCTGTGGCTTAGAACGTAAATAATGGAAACATTGGACACGGACCTGAAAAAAAAAACAATTTTTTTTAATTATATAATCACAATAAATTGTTGTTGTGAAATTTTACCTCCAAATGCAATACAAGCAAACATGTATTGGCCAGCTCATCAAATTCCAATGCCAAATTTGTTAGAACATTAATTGTACCATCCTTAACAGTGGCATATGATGCACAATCTGGTGTCACAACATTTAGGCCATTTACCAAAGGTCTTCTCAGCTCATTGGCAAATTCGGAAATTCGAATTGAAAACCATTCCATACTCTCTTGAAGTATGGCCAATTCTTTGAGGACACTAACATCCCCGAGAATTTCTTGTTGTGATATACCACCTTCACCCAAATTACTGGTTAACATTTCAGCTTCACGTATGTTACGTTGTTGCACCTGCAAGGGGCTCTCTTCCTCCGAGGCATCATATTGATTTCGTTGTAAACGTTTGCCATGCTTCGGACGTTGATGGGAGTTCTTCAAATCGGTCCAGTTGGGTAAGGTTCTATAGGAATAATTAAATAAAATAAATTCATTAATTAAATAAAACTTGTTTTCTACTTTTGTATACTCACTTCAAAAATCGACTAATATCCTCATCATTTAACCATGTCACACTGTAGATACGTCGATCCTCAGCATCTGGTTGCACAATACCCAAATAGGCATCATTACAAATGCCACGATAATCTCTCAATACTGAACACACTGTTTTCAAAAGTTCCTCCGAATAACAAGGCAGATCTTGTATTAATTGTTTAGTTTCCGATAGACATTTTTCCACCCTCGCTGTAGACTGTAGTATGGGTCGTGATAAACCCAAGGCTGACATCTCTTCAGGGGTTATTATTGTACGCCATACATCTTGATTTTTCGATAATGTTTCAATGGTCATTTTCAAATGAGAATTATGACCCTTCGACAGAAATGTGTCCTTTATATAGTTATCGATGAAATCGTGTAGACTGCAGGGTTGTCTAAAAAAGAAAAAAATTTGAAAATATTTTTTTTTAATTCGAAAAATGTATTAAATGTAATATGTTATTGAACAAAAATTATTAATTAAAAAAAAAAATAAAAACATTTTATAAAAATTAAATTTAATTTTTTTTAATTTAAACTATTAAAAAATCGGAAAAATGTATTAACATTTACTAAGCAAGTATTTTTTAATTTTAAAAAATATTTTTTGACAAAAAGGCGATTAGAAGGCGATGTTATTAAAATTAATAAATATTTCCATTTTTGTAAACATTTACTTACCCTGGTTTACATTTCATGAAATTCTCAATTTCTTGTATATAGCCCATCAGGGGTAAATACACCTTGGTGATGACTGTCTGATCGGGTGTACATATTAGTAGCTTTTCTCTTTGTTTTTCATATGGAAGATTTGATTTGAAGCTGTAATTGGCCCCAGCCTTACCACCGCTGGCATGTAAGGCAGCATTTAAAGCATTATCCATTGAGGCATCTGATGCATTGCGACGATGGCCTTTGTTGTCATCACTACTCGGCGTGGATTTCGTTGAAGATTTGTCGAATTTGAAAATTGCCTTTTTTGCACTGGAAAACAAACCCATAAATTTTAATAAATTAAATATGACTGTTCCAAGTTGGGAGAAAATGAAGTCAGAATATTTTTTATCTACCTTGGAACTTTACGCCTTAGGAAATATGCATTAATATTATTTGTTGGCTCAGAAAACGATGATTGTGTGGTATCATCGCCGGAAGCATTTTGTATATCTAAGTAATCGGTTAAAAGTAATTGCAACTGGAAGTTGAAAAAGGAAATATTTTTTACAATTTTTATTCTAACCAAATTAAAAAAGTCATTTCTTACCACAGACTGAGCTTGTGACCAAAAATCCGTTAAACTATAATGCTGTGGACCAACAATTTGATATTTTTGTACGACACCCGAAAAATATTTCAACACCGTGGTGTGGGTGCGAGCTATGGATTTAAATTGTTTGAATATCACCTCCAACAATGTCAACAGGGGATAACTTTCATTTGTTATTAGCGGTGAATCGATCAATTGACGTGTTGTATTTCGAACCACCTCCAAAAGCTCAGTTTGTATACCCACCCGAAGCTTTTCTATTGAATCGGACACCTTTCCCCAACATACCGAAACATTCAACAATTATGGCAATAAAATATGTCATGCTAAGTTCGGGTTCCAACAAATCGATGTCTTCAATAATTTCTGTTTTGGTGGGATCAACACCCTGTGCCATCTCCTGTAAGGCTTTGCGGATACGGGCATTTGCCTCTATACGATCTGTGGAACGTCGTGCGGTAATGTTACGTGAAAATCCTTGATTTAAACGATTCGAATTGGAACGTTGGAAAGCTGACAACACATCTTGTGCTGAGTTGTGATAAATTTGTGCTACCAATTCTTCGTGTAGCCTTTGATAGAGATGTTGACGGCGGCCCATTAAGTCGCTGCGTATATCAGCCAAGCCTTCGACCTCTTTGAGGGGACCGTTTATCAAGGACAGGGCGTCGGTTAGCTCTTTACTGGCATGTAAATACTGGCGTTTGGAGGTATAGCTAACCACACTTTGAGGCACTTTGCGTAAGTCATTTCTATGAAAATGAAACACATAATAAAAATTTTACAAATATTTATGGAAATTACTTACATTTGTTCCAGCATGGCCAAAACATATTTATGCTGCACTGCATCAGTCCACATTTTCTTAAGTTCCTCTCGACGACATTGCAGCAAACGTTTGCAGGCATTTAAATTCTCCTTAACCGTGTGTATCTTCTCCTTACTGCTATTGATCTCTGTAGAGACCTTGGTAAACAAGGGTATAACTTGGGACAGTTGCTGGTCATGTTTGGATACCAAATCATTGAGCCTTCCATCGGATTTTTTAAACTCTTTTTCAATTTTTTGTTTCTCCTTTTGCCGTTCCTCATTGGTCTCACTCAGCCCCAGAGATTTGATGACATTAACAATCAGGCCACAGCCCGCCTACAACAAACAACAAGCGAGATAAAAACATAAACATTTGAAGGAACAACGCCCACAAAACATAATTTTGTTTTTGGCCAAACAATTTCCAATGGAACTTTGGGTTTTGTTTTATTTTGATATGAAAAATTGCTTGACCAAAAACTTTTGACATTTTGTCTGTCACAACAACACAACATCAGAGATAACAACACCTTTGCAAAATGTCATCATCACTGACTCTGTTTTTTCTTTGGCCTATTGGTCGTCTTGACCGACTTTTGTAATGGCATTTTAGGTGATTAATTCCGGGATATTTATAGTTTTCGGTGTAGCTCATCATTGCTGGGAACATAATCTTCCGTGTTAGTCACTTTTCGTGAGGATTTTATTAATATTTACCTCGTCTTTTCCATATTTAACTCCTCTTCTAGGTGGTTTTGTTGGCGGTGGTGTCTCCATATCTGTCATATCTCTGCTACTGCTGTGGATTGTTTGACAGTTCACTTGATGCAATTATTTTTTTCTTTCTCATTCTCTGTTCGCAATGTTGCCGTACTGTTGACAGTTGGGGAACGTTGGTTAGGGTGGTGTAGATCGGCTTTTGGTCAATCGATTTGAGAGGCTTTTAATTAGAAATAATTTTTAAAACATGATGTTTAATGCTTTCCACTAGCGGTAATTGTTAGAATAGTTGACAGAATTATGACAAATATAAAACAGTATACAAACTTAATATCCAACTAGATTTTCGGAAGTAAACTTGACATTGCATAGTAATTATTATGTAATTTTAATAATATTAAATATTTTTCGTTAATTTGAAGTATTTCAAGACAATAAATGGACTCGATTTTTAAAACGAGGTAGAAAATCAGTCAGCTGTTATTTGTTTTGCTTATGTATACAGTTTCCGTTGGTTACATAATTTCTGTATCAAAGTTTAAATTTTTTTACATTAGACCATGGTACAATGAATAGGTAGTCCATTTAGAACAGCTCAAGGTAGCCGCATCGGCGAATTTCTACAACAAACATCGGTTGTTGTATTTTGATATGTCAAAAATATGTTGCCACAACAAACAGATTGACACGATTTTTTTTACACAAATTCTTGGAAAAAATGTTAATAAAAGTATTGCCAAAAAACTCTTCCAAATTCGGAGATTTTCATTTATAATTTTTGGTTCAACATTACCACAACATTTTTGACATTTATTTGCACCAACAGCTGGGCCGATGCGGCTACCATATTAAATATACCTTGGAGCAGCTGATGTCTTGATTTACTATCAAAGGGCGTATTTTCTACATGAATTCCAAGTGCAATGTTGCCAACCATATTATAAAAAAAATTGACAGATTGTCGAGACAAAAACAAAGGTTTTTATTTTGTAACATCACCTTATTATTGCATCATGCATTAGACTTGAGGAAAATCAGCTGACATTAGCTTGGTGGGTGACCTTATTTTTTTTACACAAATCCACTAGGGGGAGTATTATGTTCAAACTCTACACTGGAGATAATCTTCCAAAATCATTTGCCAGTTGTTTCACATTTAATTTTTTTTAGCCGACCATATGCGAAGATTTCTTTTCGAAGTTCTAGATTTTTATTTTCTACTACATCTAACAATTCAGTGTACTTATCAGTTTCAGTTACCAAATTTGAAAATTTTAGGAATTAACACGAGTGAACGAAGAATAAGTAAAAACATTTTTCAATATCTTCTCCATTTTATAACTTGTACATTGTCAAAATCAAGATCTATTAATAAGGTGACACAGTAGGCGAAAATCAGATCTTTTCTTCCTAAGTCTAATGTCAAAAACTTGGATTTTGACAGCAAACTTGAGAAACAGCTGATATGCAGCTGGTCGCCCTGGATGACATCAATAACAGACCTTGGTGACAACTATGAATTTAGGCAGGTAATCTGATGATCAGCTGTTCTTTCAGCTGTTTTTGTTGATATTTTAAATAATAGTACGTTTACATTTAACCGGATTTCGTTAACCCAGTGGGTTTCAATTGTCAATTCCTTTGCATCTATGTCAAATAAATCCTCATAAATTAGGTTGACGCGGTAAAAAGTTCTAACTATCTTCGTACTATCACCGAAATATCTCACCATTTTGTATTTGATAATTAAAACACAGTTTTTTTTTTGTTTTTTTTTTCTTCTTCTAAGAATTGTTATTATTTTTCGTTTTTGTTTTATTGAAATACATATGTTTTCGAAAGTACATATTATTACGAGTTTTTGTTTATTTTATTTTCATTTAAATATAAATTTTCCGTTAGATATATATGTATATGTTTGTTTACTTTGGCATGTTCTGCAAAAAATGTTTTCAAAACATCATATTTTTTTTCTTTATTTTTTTTTGTGAGAAAACTACATATTTATCGTTCGCTTGCTTTATTTTTTTTGGTGCACTTATATAAATATTTGAAAGCCAACATTTATAGATGTAATGTGTGACCTGCTAGCTTATTTTTTAGGCATATATTTTCCTTTTATTTTTATTTGAAAAAAATCAGTGTTTACGTCATGACAATATATGCTTGAATGCTATATGTCACAGAGAGTTTGATGTGTGACCTCTTAGCTTTACAACTTCAATAAATGATGTAAACACTATATTTTTGTCTAAGAGCGCGTTTAGACTACTAAATCCACACCCCTTTTAAATGTCAATTCCATAGGGTATATGTCACTTAAATCATGTACAAAACACCAGTGTATTATATTTGACGAACACAATGTAATATACATTTAAAATCATGCAGATTTCGTAAATCTAAACACACTTTAATATCTCAAATTGTTAAGTGTGCTTAATAAATTATATGCGGGAACCTGTTAATGGGGGGTAGGTAGATTACAGGCTGTGCTCATTTGTTACTTGTTATGGGGATATTTTTCTTATTTTTTCTAGAAATTGTAAATATTTCAAAAAGTTGACAATGATGACAAATATGGGAATTTCCTTTGCATCTCATTTTCTATCATAAAAAACTTGTGGGTTTTGTTCTATAAAAAATCGGAGGTATTTTTAATTTGCTAATGATTGTTTTTTTACTAACAAATTCAATTTTGTAAAAAAATATCAGGAGGGACCATCAAAAAATTTTCAAATAAATATGAATACCTTTTATTGATTTTTTTAGGTTAAGGAAGTATATATGTTAATTTTCTCATTTAGGTGGGCTAAAAATAATACAATTATCGTTGGGGTGCTATATGTGTGTGTGTGTATATACCTAAGTATCATTTGTTTTCTTTACAAAATAATATAAAAATTATTAGTTTAACTTCAACGATTGGGTTTTTGTAAATTTTTCATTTCCATATATAATTTCTGTTTTTTTGTTGAGGTTAGGTTTATATTTATAAAAAAAATATTTTGAAAAAAAAAAACAAAAACAATTTAATAATTATAACAATATTTTTAAATAATAAATTTTCTAATTATACAATTATTAATTTTCTCTTCTTCTTTAAGGTGTGTGTATTAAATAATTGTTTTTTATTTTTCATTTGTATTGGTTTTTTATACAATGTTATGACTTTTTTTGACTAACATTTCTTGTCAATTGTAATTACAATTAAACTTATTACTTCTATAATAGATATATACTTGTGTACGAATTTCTTAATTATTTTTTCTGGTTTTTATCTCTTTTTGGCAAATTTGCATGAATATAATTTGTATCATCTTTTTTTATTAATTTTTTTTTGCGTTGTTTTTGAATCCAAAATTTATGGGAAATATCAATTTTTGTTGTTTTGTTTGTTTTTATTTTTTATTGCAATAATTTACTTCTTAATATCGTTGTTAATAATGCTAAGACGTCGAATATTTGGCTTGTCATAATCTTCCATGGAAATCCCTCTGGAAAGACGTCGCGAACCATTGGTGCCATCAAACGATCCCGAACTGGTGGAAAAGGCACGCCCGCGATCAACACCAGGCATTACCACCGATGTCAATAGACCTTGTCCTTTGCAGAAGAGTAAAATCGATTGGGCCACCTTGGCAGGCTGCAAAACAAAAAGAAAAAAAAAATAAAATAAATTAATTAATAAACAAAAAACATTTTTATTTTATAATTTGGGTCGTGTAAACATAATTTTTGCTGATTTGTTTCAAGTTTGTTTAACATTATTAATAATTTCACTAATTTTTGAATATTAAACGATTTTAAAACATCACCTATTTATATGCATTTCTAATCTTATGGATATTATTCCACTTACATGGAATTTGAAAAATTTACGCAAATACAAATCAGCTGACTGTCACCACTATACAATTTTAATACATTATTTATCGATTTACAAATCGAGTCGATTTATTTCGCACTGTCTAAACGCAGCTTAAGCAATTTATTTGACATATGAAGAAGCATTTTACAATAATACAAGGTAGGGCAGCTTGAGGTGAATAACAAAAAAGCAACTATGCACGTGTGGCCTCTTCTGCCAAAAATAAAATACGCAACAAGTGTTTTTGTTTATTTGACATTTTTTTTTAACACAAAACCAAAAACGCGAAAAATGAATGAAAGGTTACGATTTCTTCCCAAAATCCACAAGCCACCTTGAGAAAAAATTGTAATCAGTTGGTAGCTGTGCCCTACCTTGTAATAATTATACCATGTGAAAAAGGTATGACACAGGCTTTATTAATAAGGTTAACCAGGAAGACTAGATGCATATCAGCTGCAAGATCTAATAATAAGGTCGCCCAGCTAGCGAAACTCAGCTGTTCTCAAATCTGATGTCAACAATTTAGATTTTGTTTACATTTTCATAATGGAAGTCAATGGATTTTGACAGTTTTCATAATGGAAATCAATTTACAATAATGGATTTTGACAGCAAACTTGAGAGTCAGCTGATATACAGCTGGTTTGCCTAAATGACCTTATTAATAGATCTTGATCAGCTGCTTCTCAAGTTTGTTGTCAAAATCTATTATTGTAAATTGATTTCCATTATGAAAACGTAAACAATGCCCACATTTTTTACATTAGACTTCAGAAAAAAAGCAGCTGACGTTCGCTTACTAGGTGACCTTCGCATGTAATATCAAAACAAAAACAACTAGTTTTTATCTGTCAAATTTTATCTAGTAATGTTTTTTTTTATGGTTGGGTCGAATTCTACTTTGAAAGCTAATCCGATATTCAGCAGCGCTAAATGGAGTACCTATTTTTTGAGCTATGAGACAAGCAAATTGATAATCTAAAGCAGCATACATACTATCGGTTTGGACTGTCAGTTTTTTTATTGATTACTGTCCGTTCAACAATGTAACGAATTGTCATACAAAAAGAAATCAATATATTTCACATGTGTTCGCAAAAATGCCCACAGAAGTTATGGAACCAACCAAGATCACCAAGCAAGTAAAATTTAGCTCGTTTTTCTCAAATATAATGTCAAAAAGTTTATACATAGTACATTTACATTGTACCGGATTTCGTTAACCCAGTAGTTTTAAATTGTCAATTCAATTGTATATATGTTAAATAAATAATCCTCATGATCCGGTAAAAAGTTATAATGTAAATGCCGTTTTAGACGTTGTATACTTTTTCATAATGGAATACAATTCACAGTAATGGATTTTGACAGCAAACATGAGAACCAGTTGGTTATCAGCTGCTCCCTGGATGACCTTATTAATAGATCTAATATGTAACCATGGCACAATGAATATTTAGTCCATTTAAAGCAGCTGATGTCTTGATCAACTGTCAAAGTGCGTAATTTCTACTTGAATTCGATGTGAAATGTAGCCATGCCATGTGAAATATTATAAGGAAAAATGTGGCAGATAGTTGAGACCAAAACAAAGGTTTTTGTTTTGATACATCACCTTATTATTGCATCATGTATGTAACCGTGGCACAATGAATATTTAGTCCATTTAAAGCAGCCGATATATTGATTAACTGGCAAAGTGCGTAATTTCTACTTGAATTCGATGTGCAAAGTTGCCAATCACGTGAAATATTATAAGGAAAAATTTGACAGATGGTTGAGACAAAAAAAAAAAAAGGTTTTTGATTTGATACATCACCTTATTATTGCATCATGTATGTACCCAACGAAATATGTATGTATTCGTACACAAATATCAGCTGACTGACAACGTTATAGCATTTTAATACTAGTCTAAGTAATTAGGATTTAGTTTATCGATGTACAAATCGAATCGATTTAGAAGGCATAGTCTAAACGAGCTTTATCTCAAATTGTTTCGAGTATTTTCTTTTGAGATTTGTCGAATGTTTTTTTATTCTGTTATGTTTTATGACATAATTACAAAAGGTGGTCTCATTTGAGAATTTAATGATGGCAACCCTTTTTAATTTGGAACTCATCTATCAATTTTAAATAATATGAAAAATAAATTCCATAAAATTTTATGTATGCCGATTGGTATATTTAACCATGGTTGTTACAAGGCAGGGAACTTTAAAACATTTATAAATATAAATTATTTAGCAATTTTTGCCACTGAACACATGATATGCGTACATTTCGAAGGAAGATATTTTCATTTAAATTTTGAAAGCTAAATACGGTCAAGGGCAAATTTATGAAAAAATTGGAAACATATGACTGCATGAGACTGGCTTGTATAAATATGCCATGGTTATGTTTATTAATTTTTTATTTAATTTTCCTCTCCTTGTCTACTTACCGCATCAGCCAAAACATCGCCGGCCCTTTCAATTTTCAACATGGTCACCTTTTCCTTTTCAATGTCACGATGCAATTTCTCCACCATGGAAGCATAGGGACTTAGCATGCCAGTAATTAGTATGACATCTACCTTGCATCCTTTCAATGTTAAATCTTTGCGACTATAAATTAAAAAAAAAAAATAAAATTAGAGATTAAATTAAAATTCATTCATCATGTATTTACATATTTTATTTACATAAATATGTATTCTTGTACTCACTTCATAAATGCCTTAACATAGAGACCGACATTTTTACTATTCAAAGAGCCTCGCAGGCGTTTTTGATATTCGGTAACGATTTTCTCCTTGTCCGGATTATCGCCAACCAATTGCTGTGTAGCACACACGAACATCCAACCAACCATCACAGAGAGTCAGAGATGAATTGGGAATTGTCCATATGTTTAGATATCGTGTTTTTTATGGATTTTTATTTTGGCGGTTTTTGCACAAATTGCAGGGGGAAAGCACATTTGATTGATTGGTTTGTGGGTGGGTAGGTGGGGTTTTTTTTTTATTGCGTGTAAATAGGTGGTAATCCCAAGCGTAGGTTTTTTTTATTGGCAAAAAAATGGGGAGAGAAATTCAAAAGAAATTTTAGATTAGCATATGCAGTATCGTGGGGTAGGTATATCAAACTAAATTGCATACAAAATTTATACAAAAATAACAAAATATTTATTAAGCATACATTTCTACAAGTAGCATTACAGGAAAAAATATAAATAAATAATAACAACGATGTTTCAAAAAAAAGAGATATAAAGGAGAAATGAAAAGAAAACATGCTTTTCATTGCGATGATAAGGGAAAAAGTGACTAGGAGTGTATTTACAGCGAACATGTGTCATTTATTTGACATATATGTCATATGTCAAATTAAACGATGTTTAAATGATGATTAATCATAAAACACGTTCGGTGTGGAAATTCTAACAACAATGATTGTGTGTAACAGATATTGTCACATTTACATACATATATGTGAATAATAGATATGTCTTTTTTTTAATAAATTTGGAATGATTGAAGGTTGTATGTAAGCGAATTGGAAATGAGCCTTCTAATGATTCCATAAAAAAAACTACAAACGCACTGAAAAAAAAAACAATCTCATAAAGAATGTGTGGTATGTGTAAACTAGGTTTTAATGGACGAATCATTTGACAATACTAAAGGGGGAAACACATGCAGTCGCTCCATCGCATAATCGGACAAAAGTTTTTCTAATAAATAAATGTATTCTGAACTTTAAAAAAGTGTTAAATATATATATTTTTGAATTTATTTCGATTTCACATACATAACTCTCCGAACAGAAAAAAAACAACGGATCAGATGGAAAGATGTATGTGTGACGTAAGCCAAATGCTGAATTTAATCATAAGAATACAAAAGCCACTGTTAAGCACGGAAAAGGTTCTGTTATGGTTTGGGGCTGCATGTCGAGTGCGGGAGTAGGCGATTTGCATTTTATTGATGGTAAAATGGACAAATTTGTCTACCTCAACATTATAAAACAAAATGTAAAGCAAAGTGCAGACAAATTGGGTATCGCGAACAACTTTGCCTTTTATCAAGACAACGATCCCAAGCGCACATCAGGTGTTGCAAAGCTTTGGTTGATCCATAACTGCCCCAAACTTATACAAACACCTGCACATCGCCCAGATGTTAACGCAATTGAGCATCTTTGGGAAGAATTAGCTAGGAGAGTGTACGAAAAAAAATTTAACTCCTTAATACAGCTAAAGGAGGCTTTACTGAAATCGTGGAACTCCATAGAGCCGGAGGTATGCCAGAATTTGGTCAAATCAATACCGAAGCGTTTACAGGCCGTTCTGGACAACAAAGGATATGCAACTAAATATTAATTTCTCGATTTTTTGCATTTTTTAACATTGATACTTTGCTTTGTCCGATTTTGCGTTGAACACAATAAATTTGTTTTTCTAACGAAATTTACTGTTATCACTGGGAAAGTTGTTGTTTTTTGTATTGTTCAGAAATATAAGTAAGTAATGTGTAAATAAAAGCGAAAAAAATTACACATTTAGACATTTTTTTTGAAATGTATAGCATTATTATTATATCTGACAACCACTTGTCCGATTATTCGATGGAGCCACTGTACCAAAGATTCAGGTCTGGCATGTTAAGTTGACCTTGTATGAAATGTCAATTTATACAAGAATAGCAGAGTCGAACTTAAATTTGGACGTCGTTACTCTTTATTCTTTTACAAATAAAGAAGGCAACTTAGCATGTCAATACTGAAGGCCCTAGGATTAAGGCCTGGCATGTTAAGTTGGCTTTGTTTGAAATGTCAATTTATAAAGGAATATCGAAATCAAACTTAAATTTGGACACCGTTACTCTTTATTCTTTTGCAATAAATAAAACCAATTTAACATGCTAATCCTGAAGTCCTCTTATGTGTTTCTCCTTTATGAACAGTTTAGAGAGTGTTTAGACTACTTGCAAACGTCAATTTCATAGCATATACGTCACGTTAATCCTGTTCACACTGCCAGTTTATGGCTTATAATTAACATATAGACTATATATTAGACTATATCTTATTACGTGATTTATGTATAAAAAATGAAATCCACTCACAAACTCAAATTGCTTGAAGTCATATTAATTGTAAATACAACTCTGTTTTTTACGCCAAAAAATGCGTTACCATTTCTAAAACCGACTAACTGGACTGAATCCAAAATCCGGCAATATTTTTGTAGATGACTGATGAATGACGGACATTAAAGTTCACACAGACACAGGCATTTGGACCAAAGTGTCATACAATACTGATAGTGTGTACACCGCTTAGGAGTAGTATAATGGCGACACATATGGTCTGTTCCAGTACATTTTTAATAGTAACACATATGGTCTGTTCCAGTACTTTTTTAATAGTAAATCTAGTAAAAAAGAAACAGTTCAAAATTGTTCTCAGAGTACAAAATAATTCAAAATGTGCGGAAACGCAAATCGAGTAAATATGCCAAAATTAGATGTCAATACTTCAAAATCAACGTAACAGCCAATCAGAAATTTCTCGAGTAAAAAGTTTACAAAGAGAACGCCATTTTGTTTTGTGCTCTCTTAAATGTGATTCAATGTTTTACCAGTTTTGTGGGTTGAGGAGGAACGGGTTTCGAGTAAAAAGTTGCAAAACATGTAAAATGAGTAGATTCTTTTAGGTTCTGGAACGGAACTATAATGTATTTCGTTTGTTTACTTTAAAATTGGCAAAATTCCGAAAATTTTAAAAAAGTAGCAGCTAAAATAATATTTTTTTAAATATACAAATGTTTGAATACATTAAATGGTATTTACATCATAAATTTTTGCCAGGTTAGCTTTCTCTATAAGGATTTATTTGACATATATGTAATAAAATTGACAAATTAGATCTAGTAGATTTAATGCTTCATGCGTCTATACAAGGCAATGCGGTTGCAAACATATACATATTTCCTGAATTGAATTATTTTTTTTCTGAAATGACACTACAAACAAAATACACAAAACGAATTGCCAAAAAAATTGTCGGTACGAGCAAATTTTTTTTCCATTTCTATTCCCCTTGCCCATCTCTCCTGCAAACAAAGACTTGCCGCAAGTAAATATCAGCTACTTCTCAAGTTTGCTGTCAAAATCCATTATTGTGAATTAACTTGTATTATGAAAACGTAACAATGTACAAATTTTTGACATTAGAAAAAAAAACAGCTGACTGTTGCCTGCTGGGTGACCTTATTAATAGATCTTCTTGGTATGCGTAAAGAAATATCAGCTGATGTGTATGTATACGTCAAGGCCTATTAATAAGGTCATTAGCTGTTTTTAAAGGTTGCTGTCAAAATCCATTATTGTGAATTGACTTCTATTATGAAAACATAAACAAAGGCAACATTTTTGACATTAGACTTGAAAAAAAAACAGCTGACTTTTGCTTGCTGGTTAACCTTGCTAATACATTTTCTTGGTATATGTAAACAAATATCAGCTGACTGACAACTTTATGTCACATTAATATTAATCCAAACATCTAGCGATTTTAAACATCTAACAACAAATCAAGTCAATTCAATGCGTTTTGAGTCTTAATATGCTATACATTTACAATTGACTCGATTTGTAAAACGAGTAATTAAATCCTAGGGTTTTAGACTAATATTTAAATTAAATGAAGTCAGTCAGCTGATATTTGTTCGTTTGGCAACTATTTAAAATTTTATTGTATTCTGAATTTCGAAATAAATAAAATAAGGTATAAATAAGGTCGTACATGGAGACCATCTGAATGTCAACTGCCTCTCAAGTTTGCTGTCAAAATATTTGATATTAGCCTTGAGAAAAAAACTGCTGACTTTCGCTAGTTGGCATGGCCTATAAATAAGGTCAGCCAGTCACTCAAGTTTGCTGTCAAAATGCATTATTGTGAATTGACTTCCATTATGAAAACGTAAACAAAGTCGAAATTTTTGACATTAGACTAGAGAAAAAACAGATGTTTTCCAATTTCGATTGCTACCTTGCTGACCTTATTAATAGATCTTGCACCCTACCATTTTTGACTGTCAGCTCTTTTATCGATAACTGACTGTCCAAAAACCATGGCCTATGGGTCAACCAGGGAGACCAGCTGATAATCGATACCTCTCAAGTTTGCTGTCAAAATGCATTACTGTGAATTGACTTCCATTATGACATTGTTAACAATGTCGACATTTTTGACATTAGACTTGAGAAAAAACAGCTGTTTTCCGATTTCGATTGCTACCTGGGTGACCTTATTAATATATCTTGCCAAAAACTATGAATATTGTCGTTGTTGCCAGATGAATGACGAACATGAGAGGCCCCATTATCAAACAAGTAAAATTTGGGCAATGGTGTCATTAAAAAATGACAGTGTGTACACCGCTTTACACAAAGCGTTGCTATTTTGGTACTTTTAGGAAAAATTATGCATTTTTTGGTACAAAAACAGTGTTGTATTTTCAATGATTTCGAGCATATTAAGATAATACGGGTGAATATCATTTTGTATGGTAAGTATAAATTTATCCCGATTTAGCAAATTAAATCATGATAATACACATTATCACTTTAGACCATAGCTTTCTAAACCGCCTCAAAAACACTCTAACAAACGATGTGTGGTATGTGTAAACTAGGTTGTAATGAACAAAACAAAATTAAATGAACTAAATAAAATTAAGGAGGAAAAACATACTAAGCGCAGGGTTGGTAACAAAAGAAATAGGTATATGTATTTTTTTGTATTGAAAATGATGAGAATTAAAAAAAAAAGAATTAAATTACAATACCTCCATAACCTGTGTGTTTTTAATATTTTTTTTTGTAGAGTTGTGTAATTTTTTTATTGTATATTTGTTGTTTATTATTGGCGGTTTTAATTGAAAAAATAACAAGGATATAAAATAACACATGTTTTTTGTTGTTGTGGTTTTTAATTCAATCACATCCCCATGAATACATAATTACAAGGTTCATAAAAAACCGTAAGGTAATTGTATTAATAATAAAAACAGTGGGGAGAGAAGAAAAAAACAGATAAAGAAAGAAAGAAGAAGAAAAAAACGTATAAAGGTTATACATTTATTCACACACACACACATAGATACACGTAGATAAACCACATTTATATTAAATATTCATACAACAATATATTCATATATAAATTAACAACAGATATAGGGGTTGGGGAAGGGAAGTCGGTTGGGGACTGGAGTAGGTGGGATTTTACATCCAATTAAAATAATAATAATCACAATTAAATATACAGGATGTGTGGAAACATACATATATTTAGGCAAAGAATTTGAATATTTGTACAATGTTCACACTACAGTGGTTCTTGGAAAAATTGTTTATTAAATTATAAAAAATTTTTTTTGAGTCTAAACAACTTTTATAGGAGCCTAATTTTTGTAGATAGAATCTGTAGATCACATTTTGCAAGAGGGATCAGCTGTCTGTGGTTAAAATTCATTATTGTGATTTAACTTCACATTATGACAAACGTCAATAACAAGGTCTGTAAAAAAGGTAATCCAGGGAGACCAGCTGCATATCAGCTGTTTCTCAAGTTTGCTGTCATCCATTATTGTGAATTGACTTCCATAAGGAAAATGTAAACAACGAAAAATGCTGGGTGACCCTATTAAAAGATCTTGATCATCAAGGAAGGCCAGCTGCATGTCAGCTGCTAATTAAGTTTGCTTTCAAAATCCATTATTGTGAATTGACTTCCATTATGAAAACGTAAAAAATGTCAACATATTTGACAGTAGACTTGAGAAAAAAAACTAATGGGTGACCTTATTAAATGATATTGATCAAGGCCTATTAATAATATCATCAAGGAAGGCCAGCTGCATATAAGCTGCTACTCAAGTTTGCTGTCAAAATTCAGTATTGTGAATTGACTTTCATAATGAAAATGAAATCTAATGTCAAAATCGTTGACATTAGATTTGAGAAAAACCAACTGTACTATACTTAATGGTACTATTTTTATTGGTTGGCAACATTGCATGTCGAATTCAAAGTGCTGCGCTAAATGGAGTACCCAAGGTCTATTAATAATGTCAGACAGGGAGACCAGAGACCATAAAAATCCATTATTGTGAATAGAATTGCACTATGAAAACGTAAACAAGGTAAACATTTTTGAATTAGACCTGAGAAAAACTTTCGTTAGCTGGGTGACCTGGGTATTAAAATACTAACCAAAGCCTATTAATAAGGTCGTCCAGCTGCATATTCTCAAGTTTGCTGTCAAAATCCATTATTATGAATTGAATTTTATTATGAAAACGTAAACAAAAGTCAAAATGTTTGACATTGGACTTGAGAAAAAACAGCTGATTTCCACTAGCTGAGTGACCTTATTAATAGATCTTGACCGAGGCCTATTAATAAGGTCACCCATTTAGACCTGCTGGATATCAGCTGCTTCTCAAATTTGCTGTCAAAATCCATTATTGTGAATTGACTTCCATTATCAAAACGTAAACAAAGCTACATTTTCGACATTAGACTGACACCTGACAGCCTTCTAGGACATCTACAGACCGAAGACGGAACTTCTGAGTAAAAAGGCTTTTGACTTCAATGATGACTGCTTTTCAATACACCGAATGCTGACCCTTATAAACAAAAGCTGGCCTTTTATAAGCAGATGGCAGGGCTTCTAAAAACAGAAAATTGGCCTCATATAGACAGAAATCTGACCTCCTGTACACAGAAGGCTGGCATCCATTAGACCGAAAGGTGGTCTGCTAAACGAAGAAGACTGGCCTTCTTATAGACAGAAGACGGACCCTATAGACAGAAAGCTGGACTCTTGTAGACAAAAAGTGATCTTTCATAGGTAGAAGGCTGGACTTTTATTGACAGAAGACTGGCCTTCTATGGACAGAAGGTCTTCTATAGACTGAAGTCTGGCCTTCTACAGATAAAAGGCTGGCCTTTTAAAGACAGAAGTCTGACTTTCTAAAGACAGAAGTCTGGCCTTCTATTGACAGAAGTCTGGCCTTTTAAAAACAGAAGTCTGGCTTTCTAAAGACAGAAGTCTGGCCTTCTACAGACAAAAGGCTTATCTTTTATAGACAGAAAGCTGACCTTTTATAGACAGAAGTCTGGTCTTCCTTCTATAGATAGAAAGCTAGCCTTTTATAGACAGAATGCTGGCCGTTTATGGACAGAAATCTGATCTCCCTTCTATATGCAGTAAGCTGTCCTTCTATAGACAGAGAACTGGCCTTTAACAGGCAGAAGGCTAGCCTTATGTATACATAATATAGACAGAAGGCTGGCCGTTTATGGGCAGAAGTCTGCTCTTCTATAGACAAAAGGTTGGCATTTTATAGACAGAAATCTGGTCTTCTATAGATTTTCCAGTTGGCATTCTATTGGCAGAAAGCTGGCCTTCTATAGACAGAGGGCTGGCCTTATACAGGCAGAAGGTTGACCTTTTATAGACAGAATACTGACATTCTATAGGGAGAAAGCTGGCCTTCTATAGACAGAAAGCTGGTCTTCTATAGAAAGAAGGCTGGTATTCTTAAGACAGCTGGTTGGTCTTCTATAGACATATGGCAGTGCATTAGACCGAAATCTGGTCTGCTAAACACAGAAGGCTGGCTTCTTATAGACAGAAAACTGATCTTCTATAGACCGAATGCTGCCCTCCAGAAGACAGAAAGCGGGCCTCCCATACAAAGAAGGCTGGCCTTCTGTAGACTGAAGACTGACCTTCTATTGGCAGAAAACTAGGCTTCTAAAGGCAGACTGCTGGCTTTCTATAGCCAAAAAGACAGGTCTTCTATAGATAGAAGGCTAGTCTTTTATAGACTGATTGGCTGACCGACGGTCTCTTGTTAGAAGACTGGCCATCTGTAAATAAAATGCTGCCCTTCTGTAGATAACTTTCAGTCTGTAGAAGCCTGGTAACCTAACATTTAAAAGATAGGCAAACAAAATAATAATCCTGATGTGTGTGAACATTGTCGGCGGGATAAGGGATCGACATCTTCTTAATTTTATTTTCACATTTAATAGGGGGTGTGGTTTCGGAAAGTAAACGACATTGAAACATTTATTATTCTCTTTTGAGATTTTTTTTGGGGGAAGAAATCATGGCGCCCAAATGTACTTACATGACCAAATTTATGATACATAAGGAAACTTTCAGCCGATTGGGCAATATCATCATTGTTCCATTGAATGAACTGCAAAGAAACAAGAAAATACATATTTGAATAATTTGATAATTTTGAAAAAAAAATATATGTTTAACTTACCTTGGTCTTAAACGACTGCAATACCGATGCTGCACTGCCGGTGGCATTGATCAAAATCAAACCCAAAACCCGAGTGGGATGGGCCAAACCAAAACGTGCCAAAACATTAGCCCCAGCACCCTCACCCAAGCCCATTACATATTTCACATGCAAGAAGTCCAAGACGGTGACCAGATCCTCACCCAACATTTGCAAGGAGGGGAAATTGAAGCTGCAGAAAACAAAAAAATAAATAAATAAAATAAAAAAATAATAATAATTAATAAATTATTATAAATAGATAAAAACATAAATCAAATGGGAACAATAAATATAGTTTAAAACCAGTGTGGAGAATGGGTTTGAAAGGTGTAGGCTATAAAATAATTAATTACGATTAACTGTTCTATGCAATTATAGAATAGTTAATTATAATTATTTTTATTATTATATATATTTTTTATATTCTAATTTTTTTTTTTTATTTTAATACATAGTAAATTTCATGTTAATTACCTATCTGGCAGAGCCTCAGCATTATCAGCATGTCCGGGTACATCAATGTGTATGAAACAGGAACGTTCCTTGATTTCGGTCATGCATGGACTGTTGACGAATTCCTGGAAGGAATTATCTGCAAAAAATGTAAGAAAATTAAATAAATAAATTTTTTTAATAATTAAAAAAAATGTTAAAAAAACTAAGGAAAAAGATTTTTTTTTGAAAAAATCTACGCCTTAAAAAATGTATTTTTGAAAAAAACAAACCTTGAATAATATGTATATATACATATATATTTTTTCAAATCAAAAATATTTTTTTGAAGAGAATCTACGCCTTGTATAGACCAGTAAGGAAATTAGTAAAGTCGGACTGGGCCGACTATATGATACCCTTCGCCATTTTGGGTATATTCTACATATGTATCCTTACAATTGTAAGGATACAATGTTAACTCGAAGGAACATACTCATGTCATTCTGCAACCTATGATAAATTCTATTCGATACGCCGCACTGTTAAAAATTTTATTTCAATCAGACACCCGTTCGAAATACATATGGAAGCTATGGCTGCATCTGCACCAATTTCAACAAAATTCAATAACGTTTCAATTTGATACTTTGTGCAAAATTTCGCATTAATCGGAAAAACATTAGGAATTTGGCGCAGCATTTATGTAAAATCGGACGAAACTTAGCACACATAACTCTAACTTCAACAACTAACTTCAGTACGATATGCCAAAATTCGTGCAAATCAAACGATTTGCAGGGACTTTGGTGCATCATTTATCTTAAATCGGACGAAAATATATATGGGACCTATATCTAAATCTGAACCGGTTTTCTCCAATTTCTGGGCCAAACGTCCTTGGGGAATGTGTGTTAAGTTTCCTGAAAATCGTTCCAGATCTAGATATAGCTCCCATATAAATTTTCGCCGATTTAATGAAAATGGTATACCAAAGTCTCTATATATCTTTCGATTTCAATGCAATTTGGCATAACGTATCGAATTGAGCCTAGAGTGATATGTGCCAAGTTTCGAGAAAGTCGCTCCAGATTTAGATATAGCTCCCATATATTTTTTTCGTCCAATTTAAGGTAAATGGTGCACCAAAGTCCCTTGAAAATCGGTTTAATATTGACATGAAATATTGAGCAACGTATAAAATTGAGCATAGAATGACGTAATTGCGTTTTGTAAAAGTTCAGATATAGTCCCCATATATATTTCCGACCGAGTTCGTATTAATTGGGCTCCAAATATTCGGGTGCCCGATTAACACTTGCTTTAAATCGATTTTCATAAATTTTATGGGTTGATCTAAGTCGGTTCACATTCAGAGATAAAGGTCATGTTAATGCCCTTCTGTTAGGATGCATCTGTTTAAGGGAACCCCACCCATTCTCGATTTTAATTTTTCAAGATTTTCAATGGGCTGGTAAATCAATACCAATGCTTGTTAAGGTTTGTAACTTTGCACATATATATTTGAAGATTTAAAAAAGAAGAAAAATAATTTACAAAAAATTTTTGTTATTGCTTTGTTGTTGTTTTTTGTAATTAAAGAGAAGTCCTTATTTTTGATGGCGGGCATGATAACTCCTCACGGGATTATCGGAATCCGAAAATTCCAACGGCGTTAGAAAGAGTACACGTCTGGCTCTCGTATGAACTAGGATTATTGACTTCGCTCTAAAATTAACAAAATGGCGGACCTTTGAAAAAATATTTTTGAAAAATCGCAGAATTTTGACCAATAACCAAGTTAAAAAGTAAGGAAGATCATCACCGATTGGCTTTATCTTAGTTCATACGATAGCTATACACTCACAGAGAAACGTGTAAAAATTTCAAATCGATTGGGTTATTAGTTTTTGAGTTATCGTGCCCGCCATTCGCAAAAGAGAAAAACGCGTTTAAAGTTTGAGAAGCCCTTTACCCGTCACTTGATGCTGACACAATAAATCGGCAATATCTTCAAGAGTTCTTGAGATTTTTACTTGAAATTTTGTAGAGACATTCTTTAATTAGTGTAGAATCGAATTAAATCAAAAAAATGTTTGACCCCGAGAATGGGGGGGGGTCCCCTTAATATACCCATAGTGGTGAAGGGTATCATATAGTCGGCTCCGACCGACATTACTACTTTCCTTACTGGTTTTAATCTTATTCTTGAAAAAATATTATTTTTGGAAGAAAATCTGCGCCTTGTATTAAAAAATGTATTAAAAAATCTAAGACTCGAATAAAAAAAAAATCTACTCCTCAAAAAATATTTTCTTCAAAAAAAAACATTGTCTCGAAAAAAATCGGAAAAATCTAAACCTTACAAAAATATATTTATGAAAAAAATCTCGTTTTAAAATTTTGTTCCGAAAAAAGTCTACACCTTAAAAAATATTTAAAAAAATCTACGCCTTGAAAAAAATATATTTTTGAAAAAAAAACAAACCTTGAATAAAATATTTTTACTTATTAAACTTAAAAAATAATACTCCTTAAATTTTTTTTTTTTGAAAAAATCTCGTCTTGAAAAAAAAAATTAGAAAAATATACGCTTTATTTTTTTTTAATAAAAATCCTTGCTCGATTTTTTTTTAAAAAAAATCTACTTTAAAAAATATTTTTTTTTTTTTGAAAAAACAAAAACTAAAACACCTACGCCTTGGAAAAAATATATTTTGAAAAAACAAGCCCTGAATAAAATATTTTTTTTTTTTTAAAAAAAAATTTATTTTTTTGAAAAAAAAAATAGAAAAATATACGCTTTATTTTTTTTTTTAATAAGAATCCTTGCTCGATTTTTTTTTCCAAAAAAATCTACATAATTTTTTTTTGTAAAAATTTACGCCTTGGTAATTTTTTTTTTTTGGAAAAATCTAAACTTTATATTTTTGTAAATAAAAATTTGATTTTTTTTCAAAAAAAATCTAATTTTTTTAAAAAATAAAAAAAAAATTTTTTTTTTTTGAAAAAAAAAATATATTTTGAAAAAAAAAGCCTTGAATAAAATATTTTTATTTATTTAACTTAAAAAAAATACTCCTTAAAAATTTATTTTTTTAAAAAAAAAAAAAATCTGGTCTTGAAAAAAATCGAAAAATATACGCTATATATTTTTTTGTAATAAAAATACTTGCTGGATTTTCTTTTTCAAAAAAATCTACATATTTTTTTGTAAAAATTTACGCCTTGATAATTTTTCTTTTGGAAAAATATAAACTTTGAAAAAAAAATATTTTTTTTTTGGAAAAAAACTACCCTTGTAAAAAAATATATATTATTTTAAACAATTAATGTTTCACCCAATTTTTATATATATATATATAAATAAATATATGTGCACAAACCCTGTTATTGTATGTGTAACTAATTAACAACTAATCGGTTAACAACCTTTAAGGTTGAATTAATTTCCAGCAACCTTTTGTGTCCGGTGACTGCACAAATTTATCACGGAGTCACGTAAGTTTAATCACCAAACGAAAAGGGGTTGTATTTATTTTTAGATAAATGTGTGGTGGTATGTGTGGGTGGATGTGTGTGTGAGTGAGTGTGGGAATAAATGGAAGTTCATATTTAACGGATGTTAGGTGGTAATACTCACGATTGCATCCTAAATCATGGACCGTAATAAAGACCGCACGCTTTTCCTGTTGTGTTAAATCACCCTGTGTGTGTTTATTTTATTAACATTAAAAAAATAATGTGAAGAAGAGGAAAAGAGAAACAAAGAAAAAAATATAAAAAGCAATTAACAAAATGTATAAAATGGCAGTAAGAATAATTAATTGCTAATTTGTAATTATTTATGGGGTTTTAAATGAAAGGTCAGATGGAGAAAAAAATAATAATTACATTAAAATAAATAATTTGAAAATTTTCTATAAGAAATTTAAATTTGTTATTTTTTAAATATTTTTATAATTTGTCCCTCATTAAATAAAAGGTCAGACAAAAGAAATAAATTGAAAATGAAATTAAAAATGGGACTTTAATCTGTTTTATTTATTTTTTTTTAATATTTAATTTTCTTTAAGTGGGTCTATTTAAATTTGAGAAAAAATTTATATGAACTTTAGAAAAATTAAAGTTTTTTTTTTTTAATTTACTATTATTTTTTTTATATATTTCAATTATTTTTTCTTCTTTAATCTGACCCTCTTTTCTAGGACAATGAAGAGAGTGAAAAAATAAACAAAGGAATTTAGATTTCAAATAAATTTTCCACAGTAATAACTCTTTTGTGTGTGTGTGGTTTTATTCTTTTTGTTCTAAATTCCCAAGTGCTTTTAAGCACTTTCACATTATTTCCTCTTCAAATACATTACAGAGAGTATGAAAAGTGGGTATACACATTAAAAAAATAAACAAATAAAAAACTTAATTTTAAATTAAAAAAATCGTAAAATTAAAAAAAAAAAAAATTGAGATTTAAAAAAATAATTTATTTTTGTATTATACAGAAAGTGTAAAAAATGGGTAAAAAACAAATAAAAAAACTTAATTTTAAATTAAAAAAATCGTAAAATTAAAAAAAAAATTAAATTGAGATTTAATAAAATAATTTATTTTTGTATTATACAGAAAGTGTAAAAAATGGGTAAAAAAACAAAAAAAAATTAATTTTAATTTAAAAAAAATTTCGTAAAATTAAAAAAAAAATAAATTGAATTTTAATAAAAAAAAATATTTTTGTATTATACAGAGAGTGTAAAAAATGGGTAACAAAAAACAAATAAAAAAAATTAATTTCAATTTAAAAAAAAAAATTCGTAAAATTAAAAAAATGAGATTCAATAAAATAATTTATTTTTGTATTATACAGAGAGTGTAAAAAATGGGTATACTCATTTAAAAAAATTAATTTTAATTAAAAAAAATCGTAAAATTATGAAAAAATTAAATTGTTCAGTTCACACACAATACAAATTGTACCAAATTTAGTACACAGTTGTACGAATTTCCAAAACATCATACATCCCCCAATCTTAAATCAAAATTTCATGAATTCAACTCTACCGCTTCACCCACAATTTAAATTGTACCAAATTTAGTACCAAATTTAGTACACAGTAGAACCAATTTCCAAAACATCATACATCCCCCAATCCTAAATCAAAATTTCATGAATTCAACTCTACCGCTTCACCCACAATTTAAATTGTACCAAATTTAGTACCATTTAGTACCAATAAATATAGATTTGTTAAACTGAATCCCGACCCTAAGCATACATCCCTACAATGATCCTAACTCCAAATTTCATTGTTCCAGCTCTATCGGTCCAGCCAAATCCAAATTGTACCAATTATAGTACGATTTAGTACTTTTCGTACACATAAGTAAAAATTTCCAAAACTACGTACATATCCCAATCCTACACTCTGGCGGTAATGTTACTTTCAATTTTCAGGATATCAGCTCGATTTGTACCTCCAAATCAAATTTGTACCAAATAAAGTACCATATAGCACTTTTCGTACACATGAGTACACACTTTCCAAACTCTTCTCATATCCACCCTACTTCTCAAACTTAATTCAAATTTTTCCAAATTTCATGTTTTAGCTCAATCCGATTCACAGCTACGAAATTGTACCAAATTTAGTACATTTCAGTACTTTTTGGATAGTTATAATTCGAATATCCAAAAATCCCTTTGCTATATCTATTCTATACCCCATCAGTGATCCTCAATCCAAATTTCAGAGTTCTAGCTCTACGGGTTCGTCAAATACAAATGATACCATATTTAGTACTTTTCGTACCGTTCTAGTACGAATTTCCAAAAACCCAGCCTTATCTGTCACATTTATACCAAGAGTGACCCTCACCCAAATTTTCAAGATTCTAGCTTTAGCCGTTTCGTCTGGGCGTTGATGAATCGTTAAATCAGTCAGTCAGTTAGTAAGTCGAACTTTATGCGGATGTTTCTTGCTATTTCCGACCTCTATTTAATGGGTTACTAAATAATATCTGAATACATAAGTACCTATAAATATTTGAGAGTAACTCCCACATCCGAGTACACACGACAATACAATTGGTATCAATTTAAAGGTAAACCACTTCTCTTGGATATACTATCAACTTCTCGGGTCTATGTCCTTCAGGAGTAAATATATACGCCATAGAATACACATTTTGTCATTTTCCACACAAAAGTCAGGGTCCATTTGACTCGCTAAATATTGACCAATCTTTATCAAAACAGACATGCTTATTCTTTGGCCCAATCCAAAGCCCGTTTAAAATCGCGATGTTTGGGCCATAATTGCGACCTATCGAGCGACCAGAAAACCCGACAAAAATAAAGTTTTTGGTCCATTTAATCCCCTAAATATGAACCGATCTTTTCCAAAAACAATAGGGGTCTTCATTGGCCAGAACCCATAAGTGTGGCCTGTATCGTGTTTACAAATTACGGACGGACGGACGGACAGACACACATGCCTAGATCGTCTCAGCTAGTCGAGATATGACGATCGGTATACTTAAAGGTGGGTCTAGGACCAATATTTCGCGGCGTTACAAACATTTGGGGCTGCACAAAGCTATAATACCCCGACAACATAGTTGTGTAGGGTATAAAAATGCCGACCCAATTTCGGCACTCACTGTATAAATGAAAAAATGGCATTTAAATTAGATGACATAATTAATATTTAATCTGCAAAATTAACCAAAAAAAAAATTTTTTTTGAATATTGACCAACTTTTTGCACTCTCTGTATAAATGATAAATTTTTCAATGAATTTTCATTTTACATTTTTCTGAAAAAAAAAACATTTTGAAAATGTTTACAAAAAATTTTATATTTATTTTTTGTTTGGTATACCAAAATTCGACACTCTCTGTATAATTAAAAAATAATACACAATTATAAGTCTTTCTGTATGATTTAATTCAATCATATAATATTATTTTTTAATTATTTTTTATTTTTTAATTGTTAATTATATAAGCATATATTTAGTTTTTAAAATGCTGACCCAATTTTGGCACTCACTGTATAAATGAAAAAAATTACATTTAAATTAGATTTAAAAAATGACATACTCATTATTTGATCTGAAAAATTAACCAAAAAAATTTTTTTTGGATATTGACCAACATTTTGAACTCTCTGTATAAATGATAAATTTTTCAATTATTTTGAATTTTACATATTTCTGAAAAAAAAAAACATTTTGAAAATGTTTACAAAAAATTGTGTATTTATTTTTTGTTTGGTATACCAAAATTCTACACTCTCTGTATAAATAAAAAATAATTAATACCAATTTTAAGTCTTTCTGTACGATTTAATTCAATTATATAAATTATTCCTAATTATTAATAATATATGAACATATATTTAATTTAAAAAGTGTGGACCCAATTTTGGCACTCACTGTATAAATGAAAAAAATTGATATTTAAATTGGTTTTAAAACCATAACAAAAATTGTTATTAAATATGAAAAATTAGCCAAAAAATTAGGTTATTTATTTTATGGTTCGGCATACCAATATTCGACACTCTCTGTATAATAAAAAAAGAAAATAAATAATATTATTTTTAAAGTCTTTCCGTATGATTTAATTCAACCATATAATATTATTTTAAAATATATTTAGTTTTAAAAATGCTGACCCAATTTTGGCACTCACTGTATAAATGAAAAAAGATAATAATTTAAATATTCTGTAATGTCTTTAAAATCATTAAATACGGAAGTTATTTACAATATTATTTTTATTTATTATCTATTTTCATACACCTACTAACTTTCAACACTCTCTGTATAAATAGAAAAAAAATACATTTCTCTTTTATTATTATTTCATACATACCTGTACAGTAACGGTAAGTTCACCACTTTTGTCCGTATTAACAATATATTTCTAGAATAGAATGGAATAGAAGAATAAAGAAAAGAAAGAAAAATAAGTAAATACCAATACCATTGCAACAATAGTTTTTTTTTTTGTCAAAATCGGGATCAACAAAAAGGACTAAAGACATACACAAACACTCTGGCACAAGCAGCAATGGCTTATTGTGCAAGGAGGATATGTGAAAGGATTTGAAAGTTTTTATTTTTTTTGTTTTGTTTTCAAATTGGGCCAGGAAATACGAAAACATAAAATATGCATAAATAAATTAAAAGAAAAATAAAATATATATGAGGGTATGAAATGACCAAGCTTTATATATTGAGAAGAGATAAAGGATATATGACAGGATCGCCTGTGGATGGTTAGCAAATGATTGCAATTGTATTGGAAATGTTTTCAAATATATTTTTTAAAGTAATAAAATTTAAAAAATAAAAAAATATATATTTTTTATATCATAAGCATATATTCCCCTCCATAGATTTCCAATGGATCAAAGGCTGAAATGTTTATGAAGTATTGAGTTTTTTTTATATGTTTACAGGGTCATAAATGTTCTTCATTATTATTTTTATGGTGATATTCGAATATGGAACATTTGTTTGGTGGTCTACATGGGAAATAGGACAACAAAAACAAAAAAACGTACATACAATGAACATTTCTATTGAAAACCCTGGACATGGTGACGTATACTTTATGACGTCAATGCCATAATAACTCATACGCACCATGTTATCATTTCTCTGTGTGTGTGTGTGTGTGCGTTTAAATATTTCTTCAAATTAAATAATTTATGAAATATTTTTTCTTAAAACAATTAATTTTAATGTAATATTTTTTAAAATAATTTTTAATTATTTTTTTTCTTCCAGTAAAATAAAATAAAAAAATACACACACACACCCATATATATATATATATATTACAAAAAAAGAATGCCTTCCAAATATATATTGCTTTGAAAAATCGAGGTCTTGAATGGACTATTAAAAAAAAAATATTAAAAAAAATAATGTCTTAAGAAATATTTAAAAAAAACCAAGCCGTTAAATTTTTTTTTAATTTTACAAAAAATCCACGCCTTTGGGGTATGAAAAAATAAAACAAGTTTTTTAAATAAATTGACGTCTAGAAAAGATACTTTGTCAAAAAAAAATTAAAAAACGACGGATTTAAAAAAAAAATAATTTTTTTTAAATAATCCCATATTGATTTTTTGTATACCCTTCACCACACTGTGATACAGGGTATTATGTCTTTGTGCATATTTTTGTAACAGGCAAAAGGAAACGAGATAGACACATGGTTCCTTTTGAGAATATGCATAGAAACGCATTTTGAGTCGATTTATGCATGTCAATGCAAGTCTGTATATGTTAAATTGTTAACAAAGTAAGGTCGCATTTATGATCCGCTTTGAATGAAATTTGGCATAGCTCACTTAATTGGCCCAGCGACGAAACCTATTGAAATTGAAGAAAATCGGTTCAGATTTAAATATAGCTCCCATATATTTTTTCGTCCGATTTCAGGTAAATGGTGCACCAAAGTACCAATATAACTTTCGATTAGCCTGAAATTTGGCACAGCGTACTGAATTAAGCCTAGAATGATGTGTGTTAAGTTTCGTGAAAATCGGTTCAGTTTTAGATATAGCTCACATATATATTTTCATCCGATTTTAGGTAAATTGTGAACTAAAGTCCCTATATATCTTTCGATTTGCATGAAATTTGGCATAGCGTACTAAATCGAGTCTAGATTGATGTGTACTAAATTTCGTGAAAATCGGTTCAGATTTAGATATTGCTCCCACATATATTTTCTTCCGATTTTAGGTAAATTGTGTACCAAAGTCCCTGCAAATCTTTAGATTTGCACGAATTTTGGCATAGCGTACTGAATTAATCCTGGAATGATGTGTGCTAAGTTTTGAGAAAATCGGTTCAGATTTTGATATAGCTCCCATATATATTTTCGTTCGATTTTAGGTAAATGGTCCCCATATATCTTTCGATTTGCACGAAATTTGGAACAGCGTACTGAATTAAGCCTAGAATGATGGGTGCTAAGTTTCGTGAAAATCGGTTCAGATGTAGATATAGCTCCCATATATATTTTCGTCCGATATAAGGTAAATGGTGCACAAAAGTCCCTATATATCTTTCGATTTGCATGAAATTTGACACAGCGTAATGAATTAGGTCTAGAATAATGTGTGTTAAGTTTCCAGAAAATCGGTTCAGATTTAGATATAGCTCCCATATATATCTTCGTCCGATTTAATGTAAATGATGCTCCATTTGCACGAAATTTGGCACAGCGTCCTGAATTAAGCCTAGAATTATGGGTGCTAAGTTTCCTGAAAATCGGTTCAGATTTCGATATAGCTCCTATATATATTTTCATCCGATATAAGATAAATGGTGCACAAAAGTCCGAATATATTTTTTGATTTGCACGAAATTTGGCACAGCGTAATGAATTAGGTCTAGAATAATGTGTGTTAAGTTTCCAGAAAATCGGTTCAGATTTAGATATTGCTCCCATATATATCTTCGTCCGATTTAATGTAAATTATGCTCCATTTGCACGAAATTTGGCACAGCGTGCTGAATTGAGTCTAGAATGATGTGTGCTTAGTTTCGTGAAAATCGGTTCAAATTTAGATATAGCTTCCATATATATTTTCGTCCGATTTAATGTAAATGGTGCACCTAAGACCCTATATATCTTTCGATTTGCACGAAGTTTGGCACATCGTCCTGAATTAAGCCTAGAATTATGGGTGCTAAGTTTCGTAAAAATCGGTTCAGATTTGGATATAGCTTCCATACATAGTTTCGCCCGATTTCAGATAAATGGGGCACCAAAGTACCTATAAATTTTGCACAGCGTACCGAATTTTTTTTTTGGAAATCTACTTAGTTATTTTTTTTTCTTTTAATTGCCAAAATTTTTCTTGTGACGAGTAAAGGCCAAGAGCATATCTATATTTAATTATCAAACATACATATACATACATAGTATTTTAATTAATAAATTTGTTATCTTTGGTTAATAATTGAAAAATAAAAGGCCCCTCCCCCAAGTACTAATCTCAAGTATGACCAAAAATATCCAGAGCATACGATAAGAAACTAAATAATTAACAGCCACTTGTATCTATTGAAACACTCAATACCTTTAAAGACTCACACACCCGCACCCACTCGCCCACACACAAAAACGAAAAAGAAAGGCAAGCCTTTCTTTGAAAATCCCCATGCCCAGGCATGCCCGTTAGTAATTGTAAGCAAGTAACAATAAGCAGGATTGTCATATAATCCACCTAGGTACATAGATGTAAACACCTAGCCAATATCCCCTTTAACTAAAAACCCATGTGTGTGTGTGTGAACGCACACATGGGTGTATGCATACATGCCAACACAAACACACACACACACACACACATGCATTTAAGCTGGCAATTTTCAAATGGATGGCAGCACCAACAACAGCACACTTTCAGCATTATTGGCATTTTCAATTGATTATTTTGCCCCCCTCCAAACGGAAGCGAAGTGGAGGGGAATGGAAGAGGAGGAAATGATTGAAAACAATCATAAAAGTCAAACGAAAGTAAAGTACATTTTGTTACCTTAACGCAAATTTATTGTTAAATTATTGGAAAAAAACAATTTCCTAATGAAAAATCTATCATCGACGATGGCGATGACGAAGACGACGATGTTGTTGTTGTTGTTGCCGTCATCATCGTCATCAATATGAGAGCTCACATTTTTATTTACCAGGAGCAAAATTGCAACAAAACAGCAACAATAACAATTTCATTGAAATTAATAAATAAATGAATTGCAAGCAATGGCAATTTATCTTCTTTCCGTAAAACAATGCCAACAACAAGAAAAAAAAATTGCAGAAAAAAGTACGGGCAAAATATTTTTTTTCAGGAAACTTAACGCGCATTATTCTAGGCCTAATTCATTACCCTGGGCAAAATTTCATGCAAATCGAAAAATATTAAGGAACTTTGGTGCACCATTTACAGTAAATCGGACGAAGATATATATAGGAGCTATATCTAAATCTGAACCGATTTTCACGAAACTCAGCACACATCATTCTAGGCTTAATTCAATACGCTGTGCCAAATTTCGTGCAAATCGAAAAATATATTCGGACTTTTGTGCACCATTTACCTTATATCGGACGAAAATATATATGGGAGCTATATCTAAATCTGAGCCGATTTTCACGAAACTCAGCACACATCATTCTAGGCTTAATTCAATACGCTGTGCCAAATTTCGTGCAAATCGAAAAATATATTCGGACTTTTGTGCACCATTTACCTTATATCGGACGAAAATATATATGGGAGCTATATCTAAATCTGAGCCGATTTTCACGAAACTTAGCACTCATCATTCTAGGCTTAATTCAATACGCAGTGCAAAATTTCGTGCCAATGGTGCACCATTTACATTAAATCGGACGAAACTATATATGGAAGCTATATCTAAATTTGAACCGATTTTCATTAAATTCAACACACATAATTCTAGACCTAATTCATTACGCTGTTCCAAATTTCGTGCAAATCGGAAGATGTATAGGGACTTTGGTGCGCCATTTACCTTAAATCGGACGAAAATATATATAGGGCTATACCTAAACAAATTTTCACGAAACTTAGCACACATCATTTTAGACTCAATACAGTACGCTGTGCCAAATTTCGTGCAAATCGAAAGATATTAAGGGACTTTGGTGCACCATTTATAAAAATCGGACGAAAATATATATATGGGAGCTATATCTAAATCTGAACCGATTTTCAGGAAAATTAACACACATTATTCTAGACTTAATTCAATACGCTGTGCCAAATTTCGTGCAAATCAAAGAATATTTAGGGACTTTGGTGCAGTATTTACCTTAAATCGGACGAAAATATATTTGGGAGCTATATCTAAATCTGAACCGATTTTCAGGAA